CGGAACACGGTGGGAGGGAGGGGAGGGAGTAGATTTTTCTGGTTGAAAAAAACTTCGCGGGGGACTCAGCACAGCCTCCACATTTCAGTGTGGAAAAGCAGACCGTAAAAAGCAGTGTTCAAATCTAAAATAGAGCCATCCTGCTTCTTTTTCGATGTAAACGCCACATCGTACAATTTCTTAACAATCTTTTTTGGAGAAGAAAATTTGAGTTGCACTCGCGAAACAAGGTCGTGATATTTTTAGTATTTTACCAACAAGTAACCGACAATGACACTCAAAGAAGATAGTCCCGTAATGGCAAAAGATGAATACGAATGGATAGACAATGACTCGGTGGTTATGTTTGAAGGCTTTTGTCGCAAATTTTCCCAAGCAATGTCGTTTAAGAGTATTTTTTTTCTTAGCCTCGCTTCCATGTGATAGGATTGGCCCTATATCAGAAAATGTTAGTCTTAGGGTCATTAGTATTGTGGCAAAGTTTCATGCTTTTATCATTAATTTGAACAATTTTGGTCGATAACCGCTGGACTATAAATGCTGATTCACTCTCCATATCTCCCTTTAGATCATTAGTTCTCCCTTAGAATTCGATTTCCGTTTCGAATTTTTGAGAGTCCCATGAAGACTTGGGAGTTTAACTCTCACTATCTTCTGCACGATTAGAGATATATTTCCAATTTGTACTGAAATATTGTGAATGAGAATCATTAGTTCGTCTCGCGCATAATTAATCACTTGAGGGAATAAAAAACGTTTTGATCTTTTTCTCGATCGTATTTTATAATTGATCAGTTCCTATTTTCAGCGATTTTGTTCAATACTTTTGATCACAGTTTTCATTTTTCCTAATTGTCTGAGGAAAAGAAGAAATAAAAGGTGAAAGTAGCGCGAATTGCCGTTGAGAGTTTTCAGGAGAGTGCCTTCCGGATGCGCGCATCCTACAACGTAACTGTAGTCCAGTCCATTTCCCCCACCTCTCTCCCCTCCTCAAAAGATATACGTATAACTATTAAGTATAACTGTTGATTATTACTGAAATTCAAGCTACCTCCTCTCTCTGATGTCATCTGCTCGTTGCCATATTTTCGTCACTGGAGTAACGCCTTCAAAGGTAAGACCAGTGATGTGGTTATTTTCGAGCAAATTACCGATTCTTTTTTTTTTTTTTTTTTTTTTTTTTTTTTTTAATCTACTATAACAGCGACTATTTTTGTCTTCGATCATGCAAATCACACCCGCAAGAAAATGAAAAGTTCATGAGAACAATGGGTCAGTTTTCACGCACAGATAGCTTAATGTTTAGAGACAGAAGCTTTAGCTGTACTCTCGATCTGATTGATCTCGTGATGCAAATCCAACTGTTCCAAAAGGATGAACACTAAAGCCTGACGTTTCCCATTAAACAGAGTAAGATGTTTCATTTTTGGATGCTCAAATCCATCATTAGTTAGAAAAGTGTGACGTGCCATCGAAATACAGTCACTTAGTTTTTTTAGTATTTTTGGCTTCGATCGTGCAAATCACACCCGCTAGAAAATGAAAAGTTTACGAAGACAATAATGAGTCCATTATCACGCAAAGATAGGTTACCGTTCAAAGAAAGAAACTTAGGTTGTACTGTAATCGATGTTGTAATGAAAATCAAACCTTTCAAAGCGGTAAACACTAAAGCCTGACATTTCCTTTTAAAAATAGAATAACACTATTTATTTTTCATGTTCAATTACATCATTAGTGATAAATGTGTGACGTACAAAACCGAAATACTGTGTACTCATTGACTGAGTGGTAGGGCCGGACGGAAAAATATTTGGCTCGGGGTCTAAATCTACGGACCGAGCGCAGCTAGGTGCTTGCTTTATGATTGAGAGCCAAATATTTTTCCGTCCGACCAAACCAAACTCAGAATTTTACCATATGGCCATTAACTGTTGAAAATTTAAACTAAATAGGACGTGATAGACGGGCATACGAGCACAGAAAAAGAAATTCTGCAAGTAAAACTTTTCCTTCTTATTTCGATTAGCCCAGAGGGGGGAAGGGAATAACCTAAGACACAAGTGATCTGGATACCCTAAACACTGTGACAGCGGAAGTTAGGAAGGTTGAGAAAAGTCCTAAGTGTAATTCATTATTTTTGTTGTTTCATTTTGAAAGCATCAGCCACATAGTCAACATCTTGGTAAGTGCGATTGAAAATCCTTTCTAGTCACTCGATTTTAATCAGCTTAAGTTATTTAGTAACTGTAAAGGGGTAAGCCAGTAACTGCTTTGTGTTTGCAATATCTAGTTACCTCACGTTTCGAGCGTTAACCCTTCATTATAGCGATTGATGACGCGATTGAATCGCCATCACAGTTAAATAAATTTGTTTTACGGCGACTTTTGCAAATCTCTGTGGCTTCATACCGTATAATTTATCCTCATTAACTAAGGTTATTGAGCATCGTTTAATTGAGAAATTGATGATCATAAAACTAAATTTAGACTTCCATTTATGTAGTGGACTGTCCTTCGCTGATATCATTGGAAACCCGTGGTGCTTTGTGGCGTGGTTTTCCAGTGGCTATGATCTGCATTTGCTACTTGACTTTGTTGTAGTAGAGTTCAACGAACGATTCAGAGATTGCGGTAGATTCGAATTGAATTTCTGTTTTATACTTGTACACAAGCCGTTCATGATCGAGATGCCCTTTACTTAAATCTTTACATAATTGCGACGGGTTCTACGGTGCATATTTTTGTAAAGGCCGTAGTCTGTTTCTTTTTCTGTTAAAGCGCTGGAGTATCGCATAAGAAAATAAGTCATGACGCTGCGTGCTCACGATTAGAGATGTTTCTAATTTTCTCAGAGAAACTGAAACTTACTTAAATTCACTGTAATTGCATACATAGTATCAGCGTACTTTTCCTTTGAACGGATGCTTCATATCTCCACCGTTAAATTGCTTTCTTCAAACCTTTATGGTTTTTATACAATATATTTCAACCTCATTGGCTAAGATTGTGAAGTATAGTTTAATTTGAGAAACTGATGGTTTCGACAATCACCGGTGAACAAAAACTAAACTCAGTCCTATATTAAGACATATATATAACGTGGACCGTCCTTTACTGATGCTAAAGGATATTCGCGGTGTTACAGTTCGTGGTTTTCCAGTGTCCATAACTTTTATTAGTAATTCACGTGACCTTCTTCTCTTTTTGTGAAAGTATCAAGGTCAAGGTCAAGAAGAGATGTCAGTCTATGACACAGCTAGCTCACGAAGAAATATGTTATAATTATCTGTGATGAAGTAAAGGAAGTGAAAGTGATCACTACGATTACTTTTCCAGCTGCAAGTAGTTTACGAAGCTCAGCCGTTAAATTGGTCGAGAAGCTTTGCTAGGCTTTCAAATGAACTCAAACAACAGTCTCTCTGAAATCTAAACATTTCGTCATTGCTATTTCACAAACTCGTGGTTAAATTCCTGCATAAATGTGGGAGAAAGGAGATTACAATCTTTTTACTTCCCTCAAGTCATTAGGCAAACTTTTATGAATTAGAATACTGGTAAATTACAACCAAAACGTTTATCTATCTTTTTAACGGTCAAAAACGAGCAGAACAGTATTTTGTGGTTTTAACGTTAGGCAAGATGTTTTTAACGGAAAGGTGCTGACTGTTTTTCATTGTTTTTGTCGTTTCACTTTCTTAAGTATGAGTTATTAGATCAACAATTTTGTATTGTTTTTTGGAGTAACTTTACCGTAACTTAAGCTTTACTTTACGGTTACTTGCGGTATTCGTAAATTCTTAATCACAACGGCTAAAATGAGTGCCTATTTGTCCTGTCCTGTCCTCTGACTATAAATTCATGTCATGTTGTGCAAATATTGTCACCGGAGTGAGATGAATTCGTCGCAAAGCCGGACTTCGTCAAACCTCTGTGGCATCATATCTTGTCCAACATTCTCATCAGCTAAGAACAGATATGTTTTCAGGGACATTCATCTGATAAGTAAGCTCATTATTTGCTAATAGCTTGCTACGACAATATTTTCAAATGTTCCATGCTATACTGCAGAAAGTCAGGAAAATTTTCTAGAACTCCTTTCCCTTGTTAGCCTAAGAATTGAAACGCTTAAAACTCGACTGCATGTAGCTTGATCTCAAGAGGCTTGATTGTAAATACGTTCTGGCGGCCGGTAGAAATGCAGATGGAGAACGAAGCATTATAAAAATTATTGATATTGCGGAACACTCTTTGCTGCTTTCTTTGCGGAGTACTGGCAATAAAACATCATTGATTCCACAAAATTATCAAATGAGGGGCCAACGCTCGAAACTTCAGCTTCTGAAACTCATATACATTGTCAACTCAGTTGGTAAAGCCAAATTATTTTGTAATATTCCACCAAAGTTTCTTTAGAAACTTACCTCGTTGATTAATATTGTTTATAGAAAATATGCATGAAGAAAGTTCTCGCAGAAAAAGTTAAGAGAAATACCGTTTGGTTTATCTTTTTCCTGTGACTTTTAAGTCATGCCATGTTGCAACTGAAGTAAAATAAAAGATGACAAGCGAGTTTATCACACGAGCATTAGTCAAACTCAAGCGCGGGGCCTTGATCAAAAGTAACTTGGATAACTATTGACTTTCACAGCGTGATAGTCACACAGTCTGTTGTCATTAAGAACTGCGCAGGTCAGATTAAATTTAGAAGTTTCATCGAATGTGATTCGTTAATGTGCTTCAGTTGTACTTATCCACGCCTCTTCTTCACCTATTTTTTGTTTTAAGTAATTATTGTGAATTCTAACACTTTCAGCTCGTTACAAAAGTTTCTAGGTATAATCGACCCAGCCCGTTTTTGTAACTTCACATATGAGTTCCTGTTTGTAGTCACTCATTATGGATCCAGATTAGCGAATCATTTGGTACTTTTTGTTACTAAAAACAACGTTTCCCTAATGACAGGAGAGGATGGCAATGGAAACCTAACACCAGAAGCCATGATAGCTTTCATGAGCATCGCCTTACTAGTTGCCCTGTTCCTGCTCAACTCAGATCGCATTCAGAAAGCTATTGAGATATGCAGCGAATGTTTGATTCTGGCAAATAACACCGATCGAAACAGCAAAGACCAATTTAATTCACAACTGCAACAATTTTACAGCGCTATCTATGAAGTTCTTTTCAGCGCTTATCGTAGTATCTCTGACTACATAAGTGCGGAAAGATACGGCAGGAAACTGCTTGTCTTATGCAGCGAGTCTGGTGACTTAGAAAGAGAAGGAGATGTAAGCTTAGCTCTTGCAGAGATTTTTGAGAGTCAAAACAGGTTTACAGATGCCAAACAACTTTATGAAAAAGCAGTTGATATAAAGAGACAAACTGGTGAAAAAACTGACGAAGCAAGCGCCTGCCAAAGATGCGGAGATATGTTTTATAAACTTAACGAATACCAAAAAGCGAAGGAGTATGTTGAGAGAGCCCTTACCATAAGAACCGAAATTGGCGACAAAACAGGAGAAGCATCCTGTTACGGAGCCCTAGGAGCGTTCCTTCAGTTGCTCGGTAACTGTGACAAGGCTAAAGAGTATTTCCAAAAGGCACTTGTCATCAAAACTGAAATTGGCGACATTAAAGGAGAGGCATTATGTTATAGAATCCTAGGTTCTGTGTTTCGGTCGCTCGGGCAATACGACAAGGCTAAAGAGTATCTCCAAAAAGCGCTTGTCATCGCAACTGAAATGGGTGACAGAGAAGGAGAGGCATCATGTTATGGAAACCTAGGTTCTGTGTTTCAGATTCTCGGGCAAAACGACAAGGCTGAAGAGTATCTCCAAAAAGCGCTTGTCATCACAACTGAAATTAGCGACAGACAAGGAGAGGCATCATGTTATGGAAACCTAGGAACTGTGTTTCAGTCGCGCGGGCAATACGACAAGGCTAAAGAGTATCTTCAAAAAGCGATTGTCATCACAACTGAAATTGGCGACAGAGTAGGAGAGGCATCATGTTATAGAACCCTTGGTTCTGTGTTTCGATCGCTCGGGCAATACGACAAGGCTAAAGAGTATCTCCAAAAAGCGCTTGTCATCGCAACTGAAATGGGCGACAGAGTAGGAGAGGCATCATGTTATAGAATCCTAGGTTCTGTGTTTCGGTCGCTCGGGCAATACCACAAGGCTAAAGAGTATCTCCAAAAAGCGCTTGTCATCGCAACTGAAATGGGCGACAGAGTAGGAGAGGCATCATGTTATAGAATCCTAGGTTCTGTGTTTCGGTCGCTCGGGCAATACCACAAGGCTAAAGAGTATCTTCAAAAAGCGCTTGTCATCGCAACTGAAATGGGCGACAGAGTAGGAGAGGCATCATGTTATGGAAACCTAGGTACTGTGTTTCAGTCGCTCGGGCACTACGACAAGGCTAAAGAGTATTATAAAAAGGCGTTTGTCATCAAATCTGAAATTGGCGACAGACAAGGAGAGGCATCATGTTATGGAAACCTTGGTACTGTCTTTCAGTCCCTCGGGCAATACAACAAGGCTATAGAGTATCTCCAAAAAGCGGTTGTTATCAGAATTGAAATTGGCGACATTGAAGGAGAGGCAACTGACTACGGAAACCTGGGTACTGTGTTTCAGTTGCTCGGGCAATACAACAAGGCCATAGGGTATCTTCAAAAAGCACTTGTCATCACAACTGAAATTGGCGACAGAAAAGGAGAGGCATCATGTTATGGAAACCTAGGTTCTGTGTTTCAGGCGCTCGGGCAGTACGACAAGGCTATAGAGTATCTCCAAAAAGCGCTTTTCATCACAACTGAAATTGGCGACAGAGAAGGAGAGGCTTCATGTAATGGAAACCTAGGTTCTGTGTTTCAGTCGCTCGGGCAATACGACAAGGCCAAAGAGTATCTCCAAAAAGCGGTTGTTATCAGAAGTGAAATTGGCGACATTAATGGAGAGGCAGTTGACTACGGAAACCTGGGTATTGTGTTTCAGTCGTGCGGGCAATACGACAAGGCTACAGAGTATCTCCAAAAAGCGCTTGTCATTACAACTGAAATTGGCGACAGAAAAGGAGAGGCATCATGTTATGGAAACCTAGGTACTGTGTTTCAGGCGCTCGGGCAATACGACAAGGCTAAAGAGTATCTCCAAAAAGCGCTTGTCATTACAACTGAAATTGGCGACAGAAAAGGGGAGGCATCATGTTATGGAAACCTAGGTACTGTCTTTCAGTCACTCGGGCAATACGACAAGGCTAAAGAACATTTCCATAAAGCCCTTGTCATCAGAACTGAAATTGGCGACAGAGAAGGAGAAGCATTATGTTATGTAAACCTAGGTACTGTGTTTCAGTTTCTCGGGCAAAACGACAAGGCTATGGAGTATCATAAAAAAGCGTTCGTCATCACAACTGAAATTGGCGACAGAAAAGGAGAGGCATTATGTTATGGAAACCTAGGAGCTGTGTTTCAGGTGCTCGGGCAGTACGACAAGGCTATAGAGTATCTCCAAAAAGCGCTTGTCATCACAACTGAAATTGGCGACAGAAAAGGAGAGGCATTTTGTTACGGAAATCTAGGTACTGTGTTTCATTATCTTGGACAATGCGACAAGGCTATAGAGTATCATAAGAAAGTGGTCGTCATCACAACTGAAATTGGCGACAGACAAGGAGAGGCATCATGTTATGGAAACCTTGGTACTGTCTTTCAGTCCCTCGGGCAATACAACAAGGCTATAGAGTATCTCCAAAAAGCGGTTGTTATCAGAATTGAAATTGGCGACATTGAAGGAGAGGCAACTGACTACGGAAACCTAGGTACAGTGTTTCAGTTGCTCGGGAAATACGAGAAGGCTAAAGAGTATCTCCAAAAAGCGCTTAATATCAGCGCTGAAATTGGTGATGAGGAAAAGAAAGCAGCACATCTTGCAATCCTTGGAAGTTTCTATAGAATGTTTGGAGATTATGAAGCTTCGGAGGTATGCTTGGAGAAAGCTTTATCCATATCCAGAGATATTGGAGATAGAAGAATGGTGTTCAAAATCCTTCAAGAATACGCCGTTTTGTATTTATTACAAGAGAAAACCACTGACTCCCTTTACTTTCTTCAACTGTGCATTGAAAAGTACGAGGAGCTGAGATATTTCTTGGGCGCCAATGATCAGTTCAAAACATCATTTCTGGAGAACTCAGGAATATTTCCATACAAGCTGCTTTGTACTCTGCTTTGTTACACTGGAAAAATTCGTGATGCTCTTTATGTTGAGGAGTTGAGTCGAGCTAGAGGTCTATCAGACTTGATGGCAGAGAAGTACTCCGTTGAAATGAACACCTCTGCTAATCCACAATCTTGGTTTGGCATTGAAAACATTTTTAGAAAGAGAAATAACTGTACTTGTCTGTACATTTCTTATTTTCAGAATCATCTGCATTTGTGGATCTTGAAAACAAGTGGAGTCCTTCACCATAGAAGAATATCACTAGAAGAGAATCTAGTTCAGGCTGGGTTGCCCAAAGATTTGCCTTTGAGTAAATTTTTGGCTGATAATTTCCGGAGTCTTGGTATTTTGCCCATTGAAGATTGTGAAGATCGGTCTTTAAATATGGTTGAATTGCAACCTCTCTCCCCCCAACAAAAGAGGTCAGAAAGATTGCGACTCGTGGAGGAGGACGAGAGAGTCATTTCAAGTCTACCTTTGTGTTACAAAATGTTTATTGCCCCCGTTTATGATCTGATTGATGAGCCTGAAGTCATTATTGTTCCTGACCGCAGTTTGTACAAAGTTCCCTTTGCTGCCCTGAGTGAGATGGAGGGAGCCCAATACCTGTCGGAGACTCATAGGATCCGTGTTATTCCTTCTCTGACGACACTCAAGATGATTCAAGATAGTCCAGAGGACTATCACAGCAACACTGGTGCCTTGATAATAGGCAATCCCGAGGTTGATCGGCTGCCGTCATTGCCAGGTGCAAGAAAAGAAGCGGAGATGGTCGGACGATTAGTGGGTGTTCCGCCTCTGCTAGAAAAGGAAGCAACGAAGCAGGCGGTGCTTGAGCGGATAAGTTCAGTGAGCCTGATACATATTGCTGCTCATGGTAACGCCGAGAGGGGAGAAATTGCCCTCTCCCCCATTCCTACTCCCAACAATCGAAACGCTGTCCCACCACAGGAAGCTTACATGTTGACGATGGCTGATGTCTCACGAGTGAAAGTCAGAGCTAAACTGGTGGTACTTAGCTGCTGTCACAGTGGAAGTGGAGAGATAAGAGCCGAGGGAGTTATAGGAATTGCCCGTGCGTTCTTAGGATCTGGTGCTCGCTCGGTGCTGGTTGCGCTGTGGGCCATTCCAGACTCAGCAACAGAGAAGCTAATGAGTCGGTTTTACGAACACCTTGTTAATGGAGAAAGTGCCAGTGAATCCCTTCATCAGGCCATGAAGTGGATGAGAAAAAACGGCTTGACCAATGTGTCTGAGTGGGCTTCGTTTACGCTGATTGGAGATGATGTGAGACTCAAGTTTGACATGCAGAGGTAAGACTCGTTCCGAAAAGATATTTCAAGAATCAAAGTTAAATTAGATGTGAAGGTGGCTATGGTTTACTGGTCGCTGACTGTCGGTGGGAATGCTTCGTCACCTTGAATATCAAGGCTAGTTTTCTACGTTTTTTTTGTTTTTGTTTTCTAAGAGTAACAATTAACTTTCCCTGTTAGGTGTAAAATACAGAATCTCTGTATTACTTTAGTTAAGAAATGTTGATTATGAAATTAGAAGATCCTCGCAGCTAAGAACACTACTGAAACTAGTAGTTGTAAGTAGGACCTGAAAAAAATTTCAGGCCCGTACGGGATTTGAACCCATGACCTCTGCGATACCGGTGCAGCGCTCTACCAATTGAGCTAACAAGCCAACTGGGAGCTGGTTAATGAATGGTTCAAATGGTTCAAATCCCGTACGGGCCTGAAATTTTTTTCAGGTCCTACTTACAACTACTAGTTTCAGTAGTGTTCTTAGCTGCGAGGATCTTCTAATTTCATCTTTCCACCGCAGTGCAAATATGTGAATTTTCATATATCTAAATCTTCAAATGTTGATTAGTTATTTATAATAATATGGTTTTTATTTTTTTACGTTTTTTTACAGGAAAGAAGACCCCGACGGATGAATGATGAGAATATCTCGAAGGAAACAGACCTCAGAGACTTTTAAATGGATAAACAAATAGAATGAGTAGAGGAAATACTCTATCCGTTATTTCATTGTGTAATTAAAGAACGGGCAATCTTCAATTAAGCATAATAATTTCAGTTTTTTGCGTTCTCTTTTCTGATCTTCTCAGAAGGAGGTATTGGTTATGTATTGGAGAGATATTTATTTCTCTACAAAAATTATCTTATTCGGCCGACATAATTAGCACGAAACATTTTTGACGTAAGGCTCTTATGAGGTGAAATCAGGAAAGTTGAAAAAAGTAGTTTAAGCACCGAAAACGAGCCTGTTAAGTCTTACAGGGTTTTCTCGCAAAGCCTTTTGTTTTAGGTTTCGTTTACAGAATCGTAAATTTCTGATGCAAAATCTCAACAGAAACCTTTTGTTCTGGTCAGTTCCAGTACTATTTCTGAGTGCTTTAAAACTGAAAAAAAAGCTTGGATCTCTAAATAGGACCATGGAAAATGCCATCAAGGTCGAGCATTTTATTACTATAGTGTGGAAAAATTACGACAGCAATATTTTGAAACTGGTTCAACAAGTCACTTACGCATAGTGATGTTTGAGATAATGCATGTTTGCATGGTGATTAATCGTTTTCAAGTCAGGTCATTGTCAAAATGTTGTTTAAGGAATCAAAATATGTTTTTTTGCCACACTTTACACAATTTGTTTTTTTGCAAACTTTCTTATTGGAATTTGGAGTAATTCCAAAGACGCTAAAATAAAAGACAGCTTGAGAGAAATCTTAGAAAATATCGTGAGTGGTTTTTTAAACCAGGTTACAGAGTAAAACAGATAGCACTGTTGTGCATTGTTAAGGCGGCAAGGTGGCGGGATGAAGGATGCATCTGGTAGGAGTGTCTGCATGCGGTCCACTGACGCTTTCTTGCGCAGAAAACATCAACAAACGCTATGATCGCAAGAAGGTTGTTTTGTTTCTCAATGCTTCTCAGTGAATTTCTTTGATCGTTTCTCCTCAACCCAGGTGACTTGATACTCGTCTTATAATCAAAATAATTCTGGCGATGCAGTTCTGGTGATTAGTATTCTAGCATCAAATATTAATTCCAATACAGGTTATTCAAGACTCCAGAGTAGTTCTGGCTCCCGGTTTATCCCTGGGGTATCAGAACCCCCTCATCAAATCCCTGGGGTTAAAGGCTAAAATTAGCTCGAAAAATGCATTTCCAACGAATCTCTCACACTAATAGAATGCGATGGATTTTAATCTTATTATGGTCAAGAGGTATTTGAGCCTCAAGGAAACAGTTCCTTAAAATTGAGGTAATTTGATATAACTTCTGCCAGTCTTTGAGCAGTTGATCATTAATTGTCACGCAACTATTCAAAAAAAATAAGGTTTTTTAATTGCAAATATCTCTAATTGACAGCATTGTATAACGACAAACATCCCATAACAGGAAAGACTCATCTTAACAATACGTTTCAGAGCAAAAAAATTTTTGGCCTCTGTAAAAAATTCGTGATCACGTCTCTCTGAGATACGTGACCCTTGACGTTAATTTATGCAGTTGTTAGCCATATCTAATATTTATTCACTCACTTTCAATTTGAGAATGGGATCACCGACGCTAGTTTTTGTGGTACTATATCTAAAAACAACAGATGTATAACTTCCGAGCTACACATACTTTAACGCCACAGTTATTAATACATCAGAATCATTGGACTTCTCAAAAGTGGCACCGACGAATCAGCCTCTTCGGTGCCATAGGAGTCGATATCTGTAGTCGAGATATTGACATCGCTCAAGCATGTCAAGCATTAAGGTATGATTGTCAATTTACTTTTCATTATTTGCAAGCAGCTTATTTCTATCAGCTTTGAAAACTTCTGTAACCCCGCTTTCAAAGAAAAACATTTCCCAAGAAAATTTTACATATTTAGAACATAAGTTACCAGCAACAGGTTCTTCCATTGTAAGTGTTTCAAAACATCAGGTTCTCGTCACATTGTTTTGTTACATTTGAAAGCATAAGCATATTTTAATCATGACAAAGTAATGAAATCCCCCATTTTAACCCTCTTAGTCCACTAGTGACCTAGACAGAATTTCTCCTCACACTATCAGAATGATATGAAGTGGGCAAGTAATGAGAATAAAGAAAAATATCAATTAGGGAATTATTGGTTGATACGATCCCAAATTCTCCAAAATAACATCACATAAATTGTATGACAGACAGTAAGGAGAATTACTGATGAAATCTTGAGAGTTAAAGGGTTAAGACACATATGGTAATCATATGTACGAGAAAGACAGCAAATAAATATAACATTATACTCCAGTAAAGTGTTCTTATGTAGAATGAAGTTTCAAACTCATTGAAATTAAGTTGATTTCTTGATTCAGATTTTAGTTCAAGAAATGTGTAATATCTGTTTACAAGGATGAAAAGGAAATGCCATTTATGAATTTGAAAAAGGCATATCTATTCACTGAGGTTTTACTCATAAGCTGACACACACAGATATAAAAGAGACTTTGTGAAAAAAAAAACCAGGACAATAAAATTAAAGATTCGGGAGAAGCTTATGACAAATCATTTTATTGATGTTCTCAACTGAATTCAATCTGGAAAGAGAACTCTGCAACACTTCTGTTTTATCTTCTCACACTTTAATTAAAACATAAAATTTAATTATTTGCAGGCAGGTTACGGAGGAAATTGAAGGAATGGATGTATGTTACATAAAAAGAAACCCCTTACAATAAAATAAAGCAGAAGGATGTTACTTTAATGTCTGTGCATCTGAATACAGCTTTAATAGGAATTTTTTTTAAAGTAATTATCCACATATCGAAACCGGGTGCAATACACGGTCGTAAAAGCAATTATATTCTAACCTTCCTCCTTGAAGGGTGCCTTGTTTATCAAATATATCAAGTTCAGTACTGCCAGAGTCTTAAGCCGGGCTTTTGGGGCTACAAAATAATAAAATAATCAACGAGTTATGCTAGGCCAATTTATCGAGAGTCAACTAAGTGTGATTTCCTAAAATCGTATTAAGTTTAAAAGGTGCATCACTTGTGCTACAAATACGGATTTATCGTTTTTAATTATTGATAAAATTCCGTGGGTGTGACTCAATTAATTCAAAAGAGAATATCCAAGCAGGTTACAGAAATGTTCCACGAATTGTAAACTGTTAATGTATTGACACAACTTCCCTAAATTATGGTGCTGATACGAATTTAACGTTCATAATCGCCGATGAAATTCCGAGATTGTACCTCAATGAATTCAACAGAAAATATCTAGGAATGTTACTGAAACGGACTCTCAAAAATTGCTCTTGAATTCGAAAACCGTAAACAACAATTATTTATGCTAACCACGTGCTTACCAGCGTGCTTGTGAGGTCAAATTTCCAGGACCCCGTTGAATTACACGATTACAGCTCGGACGCATCTTGCAAATTGTGACGACTATCAGTTTCAGAGATCGATTCTTAAGTTTCCAGCATTAGGAAAAAATTATCGTATCACAAGCATGTTCATCATAACCCGAGCAATAAGTCCGCCTTGAGCTGTTGAGCGAAGAGAAAGTGGCTCCATGTTTTGTGAGACAAACCATTTCCTGAAGTTGGTAGAAAGCATGAAAACATAGCGCTGAAAAGTACTCGACAACCAAACAATGAAATTCATTCATTCCGCTGTAGCACTACCTCCATTTTACCCGTGAGTTTGTTTGCACCACATATTTGTGGTCCGTAACCTAATTCTTAAATGTTTGACGGCATGCTAAAAGTAGCACCTTGTACGGACGCCCGAATGGTCATAAGTCCAAATTTTTTCGGCTTGATGGGTTACTACTATTTTGTATAATTATGCTGCGAGCTCCGCTATTATGACAATAGATTCAAAGAAGCAAAAAACGACCTCAAATTAATCTGGAGACTGATTAACGAAACTATAAACAAGAGAAAGAGAAAGCCCTCTTTACCCTCGTCATTTGATACGGAAGGCAGGACTGTCACAGATCCCAAAGAAATCGCTGGCAATTTCTTGGAACACTTTTATAATCTAGGTCCCAGCCTGGCAAAAGCTTTACCTACGGTAAACTATTATTTTCGTTCAATCTTTTCTGACAATAATAATACACCTTTAACTCTGTATTAAAAATATCTTATTAGACGTTTTTGTGTGTAGTATCGCTGAGTAATTTAACGAGCTTGTAAGGCGAGTCAACATACAAAGAACGAGTAAAAATACTGATGTCGTTTGAAACCTTTCATCTGACCTACACAACCGAACATGCTACTAGGATAGGTAATTCTGATTGATCTACACAGATTTTTGTGCAAATTTCAATACACTGCCCAGGAGATATCAGCCACGTGTACACATAATGAGGCTGTTTTGAAACAAAAACTGTAGCTCACTTTGAGGGGCTTATTCTTTGCCTCCTTTCCCTGCCGATTTACCTCTGTTCCTCTCGAATTCCTCCTTGATATTAATCTAAAGGGGACACAATTGCAACACTATTACTTCCCAAGTTTAGCGACTGCGTATGGAATTCAGTTGCCTCTGTAAAAAAAATTCACTTTCGGAAAAAAAAAGGCTAAAGTCCAAACTCTGTAGAAAAGATTTATTAAACTTGTTAAATGGGTTCCTGAGTGTGACTCAATTTATCGAAAGTCAGCTCGGAACACTTTCACTGTAAAGTTAGACCTCATCCAACTTCAATAAGCACACAATACAACAACCCGAGCTCAATCTCACTCTTACCTTATGCGGAGGGCTGAGCAACTTCCTCTAAGTTGTCAGGCCATGTAAGGTCTTCAAACAAAAAAAGTCCCTTGATTTTTCATACTTAATAACTACACGAGTTTTCCTGAATCTCTCTACCTAAGAAGTATAGCAGCTCAAACCACGAGGAACCCAACAATGCAATGGAGTAGAAAAATTTCCACGTGCAAATAAAGCAACGCGGATACAAGGTCGAAGTAAATTTGCATTGAGAAGTTTCGGAAACGAGATTACACCTAATGAAGGTGGGGACAAATATAAATATTTTTGATGCATATTTGCCACTTTGCTAAGGAAAGTTGAAAATGTAGGGAATGGGATAAAATCCTTTCGCAATTTGACCAATCTCACTTGCAAGCTAGGAATTTCTGAGAAAGGAAAACATCTAGTTTAAGCCTCTGGGCCCTAGGAGTGACTAGCATCTAATTTCTCCTTACAAAGTCACCCCTGAGTTGCACATTAAGGTCACGAGAATAAAGCAAAAATTTTCACTAACTAGAGACGCTCTTGATTGATAAACAAATTCTCCTCGTCAGCACCTTAACAAATGTAAAGAGAACATTATGGAGAATATACGTACTGATATTAGGGTGTAAAGAGTTAAAACAATAAAATGACGTGTTGAAAAAAGGAAGTAACGTGAGATCCGCCATCTTAATTTCAAACATAAAAAAGCTTCTGGAGGTGAGGTGAAATCCAGATAGGGGATAAGTAGCAAGAAGCAATTTTAATTAAAGGAGAACTATTCTATGAGGAGCTTTCATGGGGACTCAGAATGTTTTCTTTGTCCCACGCTTGTGACAAGACGAAAAACATCTTTCTCTATTCCTTTACCGAGCTCAAAGCTTACTCTCTCTCACGTCATATTTACAAAACATTGCTGATCTTAGTATGTATGCACAGTATGCAAGACGCATGTCATATGAACTTCGTAATAGACCTCGTTCACCGAAGAGTCTGTTTCTCAGTGGTAGAACATCGGAGCGCGGAATCCAAAGGTCTGAGGCTCGTTTCCTCATGGAGACTCAGAATTTTTTCTATATCCCACGCTCGTGACAAGACGGCAAACATCTTTCTGTATTTCTTTACCGAAATTAAAACTTACCCTCCCTCTTATTCTATTTACATGCAATTTTTTTATTTCTTGCCCCGTTTTTCCAGTTTGATATCGTAAACATTCACTTATATTGAAGTTTAATTTAAAAACTGATAACAGTAGAGAAAAAACAGTAGAGATTTTGATAACAGTAGAGATTTTCAGAAAGTAAAAATTCCTGACTCAACCCATCGAGATTTTCAACTCGTTTTTAAGGCGCTGTCTTTGACTTCGTGCGATCGAGCGGGCTTCAGACTTCAAGAGAGTTCTCTCAATCCAAGAGGTGAAAGGTTCTTTTGTATTTGGATCTCCTGTGAACATAATTGTCGATATCCGCTACTCTCCATGAAAGAGGAACTGTAGTTTCAAACACCCACATGTGGTACGATGAAACTGAGTTTTTAGAACCACTTAATATCTCCCCATCAGATCCAGTAATATAAAATCTGGAAAATACGAACGGAAAGAAAAATGGTTTAATACTACAAAACATCAACAAATCTTTTTTCCCCGCGAACAAGTCAGAGAAACAGAGAGCCCCGAGTGAAAATTTCGACCAATCTCATATTAACTAACTTCCTTTTTGGCTCAAGGATAGGTCAAGTGAAGCGGAGAGAAGCCATTCCGGTGGAGAACGCAAGGTAATACCATCAATTTGAAAAGAGAAAACTCTTTGTAAAGGCTTAAACATCAATACATAGCTTTGACCCTAGTCTCGTATTTCAGTTAAATTCTACGGTAGGATCTGGGTACGAGATTACTCTGGCCCAGCTATGACGCAGGAGCATTTCTGCACAAAAACAATTAACACTTACGTTTCCTTTGCTCGAAACTTGATAACCATTTGGAATTTTTCAGCAGTCAGCTCTTCGATAAACCTCATGATCGAATCTGGGGAAGATGATTACGGTGCAGGAGAGTAAGAAACGAAAAAATTTCTTTATGTCTTAATTCAATTTTTTTCAGATGCATGTGGAAACTCTATTGAGGGTTAACGGGTTAAGGAATATATAAACAAAATATCCCAGAATACTGGATATCAAGAGGGAAAATGAACGTTATACGAAAATATTCAAAACATCGAACATTAAAGTTCACCTTTTCAAAATGAATTAAATGAGTTCATTGATAAATATAGAGGGCCCAAACCGTGACAAAATACTTGCAATGCGTTTATTTGTCGTTTTCTAACAAACATCAAAATCCTTTAGTTTGGCGAACAATTAAGCTTCTTTGAAAAGAACCAATCAGATTCTAGCATTTTGTACAAGAAATTTTCAATTGAGTGTCGAAAGTAATACGGGATTGCTTTGTTTCTGCTTTACCTGGTCGCGCGCGTTTTCCCGCGCTTTAGGCAAATTGGTCGTTTTTCCTTTGAGTTCTCATTGGCTCATAGAAGTATTTTCCTTTCTTCTGATTAGCCGTTGTGATTAGTTTGGTTTTGGTTTTACGACACTCAATCAAAAAGCGCTCTATCGACACAACTGCACTCAGAATTGGGCTCAAAGTCCTGTTACCAAGAAATCAAAGCCATGACAAAGTCAGACAAACAAGCTATCAATCGGTCAAACGTATTCATAAATGAAATCACAAAAGTTAAATTCTTTCCACGAGATAACGAACCCGATACAGCGTGCGTACGTAACACTGTCGGAGAGGGATTTTAAGAAAACCACGGCGGCGATGGCAAAGAGAAAGTCACTAAACAAAAGTCTTAATAAGCAAAACAATGGTTGTGCACATGCGTTATAAATCTTTTTAAATTTCTCTGCGTCCTCTGCAAAACAACAACGTGAAATGACCAAACTTTGCGTTGTCTGGAGAACGTGAGCAACGACGACTAATTTCTTAAATCTCTATCTCTAATTTGACTCTGTGTTCCATATTCAGTTTCGAGATAGTTTTTACAGTGAGAAACAAACTAAATAACTTTAGAGTGTCGCGAGATTCGTTGGTAAAACACAAGTTCATTTTTTAACCGACGTTGTCCACGGCGTCGCCGTCGTCGTTTCTTAAACTCCTCAATAACTGACATGGCCAGTTCATCGTTTTTTAGTGCTCATATCAAGCTTCTGAAGACCAATAGGCCATTTTACAGTTGTGTACTTAGTTGCCAAGCCTTTGATTAAGAGTGAGGCTGAAGGTGACCTTGCTATGATAGAGACCAGTATCTAGTTAGCATGATAACAAAGTAATATACATTTGAAAAGCGGCAAATTTTGTATCATAACGAGGTCATCCTTGGCCTCACTCTTGTTCAAAGGCTTGGCAACCAAGCACACAAATGTAAAGCGTTTCTTTGTCCGCAAGAAAATAGCCCTTGAGCAACGTGAAATGGTGAGAAGTCTGCAAGGGGCCTGGCACTGATTATTATTAGTGCCAGACCCTAGGTAGGCCTCTCCCCAACTCGTCTCCAATCTTCCAACGGGCGGAGACCTTTAGCAGTGAGGACGGCAACGCCAAGGAAGACGTTGATTTAAAAATGAACATACATTTTCAAACAAAAATAATTTGCCGCCAGAGTTTCCTTTCTCAGACCACGCAAATTTTGATGATTTCAAGTTGTTATTTCGCAGAGGACGGCTACGAAATATACAACGCTTTAAAACGCACGTGCTGAGCTGTTATTCTGCTCATTACATTTTTTGTTTTGCCACGTCCTCGTTGCCGTCGCCGTCGTGGTTTTCTAACAGCATGCTCGCACGCTGATGTCACGGCTGCTAGTAGGGGTAATGCGACTACCCACTCAGCAGAGTTTTCACTGTGTTTAACCTGACAGAAACTAACCGGCGTTCTCTATTGTTTCGTAGCCGATAGGAGGAATAATGAACTGTTGACCGACAACGCTGAAGAGATAGCACTCGCTGTTTGGCTCTAATGGACCTTGCACTCTCCGAACACCTGCAACAAAGTAAAGCAGATTTATAATTCTAAACAAATATGTTCTGCCAGCTTACAGAAATAAGTTCTCTCACAAGGCTAAAATTTTGCGGCCGCTAGGTTGCCGGTGGCAAATTTGATGGAAACAGCTGGGGCCCGTTTCTCAAAGGTGCTGGTAACTTGGGTCATTAAGGATGTTCTGTTTTCATTCAAGATGGGGGTTTCAAAAAATGGGCCCAAAGGCTCCCCCTTCCTTAAGCCGCGTAAACTACGCCGACTGAATTTTTTTTTTTTTTTTTTTTTTTTTTTTGGGGGGGGGGGTACTTTTGATGCCAAATTCTCTCCTTATAGATCGCCAGATTGAATTAATGTAATGAACACTTAAAGAGGAACTTGATTTCATAATTGCCTTTGTTTTGAGTTTAAAGTAGAAAAAGTTCTGTTTTGTTTCCTTGTCGAGTTACGCCCTTATTTTCCAGATGCTATTATTCACAGTTTGAATCACTTACAAGTGGCGATATGTGGCTAGCATTCCTAAGAAACCAGTTTACAACTGTATACCCTCATAATGATACGCCCCTTGAGTATCGAGGAAGTTGGAGCTATGAGACCGACGGACTTAGATCAGAGTTTTTTACAAGTTTCACCAGTTCGAGTTACGTAACATAAGAGTTTCTCTAAGCCCTTAAAGACAGGATCAGACGAACGTTGTAGCCTATCGTATTTAGTTTCGTTTTCCTTTCGATTTCGCTTCTTTTGTAACTAGCCTCAGCCCATCTTTTAATTTTGTACATTGTAATTTCGCCTTTTTAAGTTTTCACTGCACGTGTGTAATATTCAGACGAGTTGGCGATCGCATGAGACGCTGCTGAATCAACCTGTGTTGTCAATTTCTACATTGTGGTTGACACTTTCCGAATTCAAATGAAAAAAAAACCCGTGTCCGCTGCACTGGGTACGTGACACTCATCTTTTGAGGACAAAATAATAATAGTTCTAGAATTTCTTTTCTTTATAAATGGGTACAACGTGTTCACGATTGAAGATTGATTCGGAGTAACTGATTCTGCTTTCGATGTGCGCCAGTCATTTAAAGCCGTTGAATGATTAGAAATAATCTCCGAAACCAGTGAACCACATAGACGACAGGAGAGGCCATTAGCGCAAAGCATGAAGGGGAAAAAAATTCTCGGTCTGACACTTAAAAAGTGAAACTTATCTAAAATTACCTATTACGCTGAGATTGGACACATCTGTCACCTCCTTCAAAGAAAATAAAGGCAAAATTACAGAGAAATTAGTTCTGATAAAAGTGAAGAATCACCTACCGGATTTTCTGCTTAATTGGGAATTACTATCACTTTTTCGGGCATTGCAGCGCATTTTGCTGGCTAAAATAAAGATTTTGGCGACTAAAATGTATTTACGCCCCCTGGCACGCTCACGTTAACGTCCGGACTGTCTTGGCATCATTTTTCAGTTTAAATTTTCTCAATGCCTTCCAAAGTGATAATGATAGCAACATCGTTTATGTTCTTGGGCATAAATGTTTTTTGCCCTTCCCAGAGTCATTTCAACTCCCGCCTAGCGGCTCGGGCTAAAAATGACCTGGAGTCGGACTGAACGAAGGTTCAGCAGACTAAGAGTAGAGATAAATAAACGGGACAGTATTCAGATTCCAGCTGGATCGTGAGTTCACCTGCATGCTTCCTTTCGTGTGTCCTAAAAAGGGCACCCAACATGGTGTTCCAATCCCGTCATCCTAACCGACGGCAGAGCGCTTACAAATGAGAGTCGTATAACCAAGACAAAAGCAATCATAACAGCCAATTGCATCGATGGGAAATATCAAAAGGAGCCAATCAGAACTCACACTAACAACAAATTAGCGCAGGAAACGCAAATGACCAAGAGTTAGGTTTTGTTTTAGCATCTGATTGATTGAGAGGATGGCACAAGTTTTCCAAACAAATCAAGTAGGGCAAAACAAAAGCAGTTTCATATCAAATTGTCACATTTCTTTTGGATCTCACACCTGTTAGTAAAAAATGCTTAAAAATCAGTTAAATAAAACTCACCAGATGCAGCTTATAGTTGTGTTCTAAAATAGCTTTGAATGCTTCCTTCAGAAATCTATCCAGTCTAGAACCTAAAAGAGCAGAGAATTTGAGAAAAGCTTTGGTCTATTTGACAATATAGATCATTACAATGATAAATGATTTTACATCCAACAAGTGCAACAGAGACAACTGCTTAACAAATAAAGCTATTTCCTTTAGTAAATTAAAAAAAGGCAATTGTTTTGAGGGGGTCTTCAGTGCTTGGCCTTTTCAATTACATCTGTGAATATATGAAAGTCATATATTTGAACTGCAGATAAAAACGTGAATATATATGACTTTCATATATTCCCAGTCGTTTATTTACCACTTCATGGGTTTATTTGAAACCAGCATGATGATCAGCTCCCAGTTGGCTTTTTAGCTCTGTTGGTAGAGCTCTGCACTAGTATCGCAGAGGTCATGGGTTCAAATCCCATGCAGGCCTGAATTTTTTTCAGGCCTTGCTTTCACTAGTGTTCATCACTGCGAAGATCACTTTCATATTCACGTCTTTATCTGTATACAGTTCAAATATACAACTTTCATATAAAAGACGTGAATATAAATGACTTTCATATATTCCCAGTCATTTTTTCACCACTTCACACATTTATTTGGAACCAACATGCTGACCAGCTCCCAGTTGGCTTGTTAGCTCAATTGGTGGAACACTGCACCGGTATCCCAGAGATTATGGGTTCAAATCCTATTCAGGCCTGAATTTTTTTTCAGGCCTTATTTTCAGAACTGCTCCAGTGGTGTTCATTACTGGGAAGATCCCTTTCATATTCACATTCAAACAAATTGCTTACCTATAAGACCACTCAGATTGTTTTTGGGATCCATCTGACCTATCAACTTGCTGACTATCATGACACAGTCCTGAAACATAATAAGGACTGTTTTACTGCAGAAATCAAAGGTTACATAATTTTCACTGTTGTAATACGTACCATGTTTGTCATAAAGAGAGGGATGATGCCTTTTTAAATCAGAATATTTAACCTTATTTTGTCAGTAAACAGTGATGTCCAAAAATGTGCCAACATCTACAACTAAGGGATTTTGTAAATTTCAGTCTAATCTGGTACAATCAGTTTTCCATGCTCCTTTTTGGAATCTTCTAACCCCTCCAGTATTTGCCTGCATTTAAACAGACAATTCTGCTACAAAGTTCCTATTATTTCTGTTACTCTTGGAAAACAATCAGAAGTGTACATAAGCTGTTTCACTTTGTGTTTCAGAGGAAAAACCAATCAGATATAAGAAAGCTATACTGCAAACAGCAAAGGGTAATGATATAAGTTTGTAGTTTGACTGGTTTATCTGTGTGTCTTTAACTCTGCAGACATACAAAGACCCAAAATTGGGTACGAATTGACTGCATTTCAGTACCAAAAAACTGGGTATAAAATGAAAAAGGTTATGAAATGACCAGATACCAAGAGGAATGCCAAGAACACTGCATCTTCAGTTATGATACTCACCCTAAATGACCTCATATAAGCCTTGCTTGACTGTTGCCTGCAAATAGTTGAAAATGTCACTTTTGACAAGTCTAATTCAATATCAGGCCATCTTACTACAATTCAGGACAGGTATTTTTTGATAAAAAAGAAAGTTTTGAAAATCAGCACATACTCAATTTGGTGCTAGATGATTTTATTAGTTGTACTTCACATATAACAATGACAATCAACATATGTGTAATTTTTTTTTGTCATTTAAAATAAAACTTCAACTTTTACATTTCAGGCTCACATACCCATAGGTTTGTCTAAAAAGTACGGCTCCAAAAAACCAGTGGTCACCAGGGTCTGCGGGGTAAATGTCTGGAAAAGACAAAATACCAGCATCAAACTTCAGTGCTTAACAAGGAGGATAAATGGAATATTGTATTTGGAAATGACTAAGGATTAAAACTGTTGCTTTTGACTCTGCTAATGATTGCAATTTCTGATTTCCACTGGATTGGAAGTGATTTTACCATTCCACATAGAACTCAAACTGACACTCCCACCATTAACATATAAAATGGACACTGGACCAAAATTTGTGTCCCTTAAAATGGAAGATTCCTCTAAATTAAAGCAAGGCACCTATTAGGTATCAGCAATTGGAAAATTCTCCAAGTATATTTCAGTGACCTGAGCTGATTTGAACTCAGACATGGAAACATTTTCCTGTTACCCAAACCTACTCTCCTACAAATACATTTTCCTAGGGGAGTACCACAAAAGAAAGGTTCCATTTTATTGTCACCTGACTAGTTTGTATCCTAAAGTTATTTTAGAAGGCTGCCTTCTAGGACAGCTGGCTAGGCATGCTATTAAAATTGATGATTGATTGATGATTGATTGATGATTAAATTCGGGTGCAAGTTCACTTGGTTACTTTCAGTCTTGATACCTTTAATTAACCATTTAACTCCCAGATCAAATTTGTCATTCTCCTTACAATCAAGCATACAATTCTTATAATGTTAGTTCAGAGAATTTAGTATTGATGCAACAGAATGAAAAGATCTAATTAAATTACAACCCAATAGAAAAAATATACTTTAGATAAATATCGATAAGATGTAATTGAATGACACATCTAAAATCTGCTTACAGACCTGAGCTGCTTTGATTCCAGGGGAACGAATTGAAAGCCAAATGTCGAGCCATACACGCATTAGGCTTCAACATAGTTTTCAGTAGCCTTTTATTTGGTTTAATGGTTAATGACGAGCCTCCAAACTGTGATAGACATCGTTGAAGTTTGGTACCGGTAAAAGCCGCCATGTTTGTTATTATTCCAGAATGAGATTAAACAATCATGCATACATATAATAATACATAACTATCGCCAAATACCGCTGACAAGAAGCCAACCGACCTTGGGCCCGAGATTGAGGCAGTTCCGGAAAGTATTTCCGGTATTGCTCGTTGTACTTGTGAGAAGACAGAGTCCATAAGAATAACCGAAAATAAAAGCAAATTTAGTTGGACGAAATGAAGGAGAATTTGTTTCATATCATACTTGCTAAGAAATACCCTCAGATCAGGAGGCTTTTGCCATTCCACCCCCTCCCGGACAAAGAACCTTTTTTCCTTAGGGATTTGTTGTAAGCTATTCCCTCAACCCAGTCTCTTGAGGCCAGAAGCCGTTGTCGGGAGGTAGTGGTAGTATGCATATTTCGAGAACATGGCTTCGTGGAAATGTACAGGTTATGTTATTTTAGGTACCACAATTGTTGTTTTAATAATTCTCCTCAATTTCGATTATTTACCGAAAAGAAGGTTATCTGAAGAGCTAGAGCTAACCACAAAAAGTAGTTACAGAGAATCCATTTCGACCGGACGACCCACCGAAAGAACGGCCACAGGTGACACAGCGAAGGTGAGGCTATTAAAATTGCATGCTGAGTTTCTTATTTGGTATTTTGTCGGTTTGATAAGGCCGAAAAGTTTTTTAAGTAAAATTACGATTTATGTATTACGAGAAAGCTTTCAATTTTAAAATCATTTCCCGGAACTTTCCTAATAAAGGGAGTTACTGTTTAAATAGATGCCAAATTACGTTGCAACTCTGTCAATTCACGATAGAGTGGTGGAACAATGAGCTTTGAAATTTCGATGTAAGCTTCCAAATATACGTTGAAGATGCACTCGTTAAATTTTTTAATTTAAGTTTGATATCAAGGGCTTTTTAATTCCTCTTTTTTTCTCAGATTTTAGAATACTTAAATCTACTAATTATGAAAAAGAAAAGTGTTTGTGCATGAAAATATTAAAAGCGTGCGTGCACATTTATTTTGCAAATTTTGTACGTCTCTTTTCTAACAGAGGTATAAGTGTACTTGGCTTCGTGGTTATGAATTACGTAAAAATTACTTCATTGAAAGAATTCAAGTCAATAACAAAATGAAAACGAAACGTAGTAGACACGTTGTATTGTTGCAATCGCTGCTTCCACCTTTGAACTCAAAGTTCGTGTTAAATTTAATTATAACCTCTGGATTGTTTTTTTTTAGGATGACGATGGAAAACTCTCAGTTGAGCAGTACAAGAAACAAATAATGAATTGGAGTTGCTCTGAAAAGTCTTCCTCTCCAATGGTAGTTATTTATGAACGTGTCTCCAAGACCTAATGCATTTAGTTTTTTGTATCTTTTTGGTATTATCAAGTGAGACTTCTACTTACGATTTAAATGTGTTTTTTTTTCATGATGCAGGACAATTTGCCTGAGCTAACATTTGATGATGTAAAAAATTTTGATTGGAATTGTAGTGGTTTCCCTTCAACACCACAGGTACAGCATATATTTTGTTACTCATGCATTTCTTTCTTTTTATTTTAAATCTACTCTAGTAAAAGGTGACAAAATTATGCAGACATCACATATGACAGATTAAGATCCAAAGAGACAAAAATATGCATCAGAAATTTAATTTCTGTCCATTTCTTTGTTGTTTTGAAAGAATTTAACTATTTGTTTAGTACTTGTTTGGTGTATACTTAAACAACTATTTACCTCCACTTTGGTGAATAATTGTTACTAGTAATTTTTATATCTCTCAGTTAGTATGTGCACTATGATTTATCCATGTAGTGGGTCATATTTCACTGTACAGCCCACTTAAGTCAAATATTTGTTTGAAATGAAATCTTCCCCTTCTATTTGAACCCACAAATATAACCAATATCTTACTGACCTCATTTTCTCAATCAGTACTGTAAGTTACTTAATAACCTTGTTTTTCGTTTTGCTTGGATTTATGGCCCATATACCTCACACTTAGGCCATAAATCCAAGCAAAAAAAACTTGGTCTGTAACTTACAGTACAGACCTGGAACTCAGTTAGTAAAAGGTATATATTGATTGTTAAGAATAGAGCATTTGCTCTATCCTTTTAAAAATATTGCATTGGAAACTCTTCTTTCTGGTTAAGATTTTTAACAAAGTGTTAAAGAGAAATTTAAAATAGCATTGCATTACTCTTAGAATATCTTCTCATTAAATTTTATTTTACACAGGAAACAGATGATAACGTCACAACAGCAATGTGTTACAATTATAATGATGTAAGCATAGACTAGATAATACCTGCTTTTAAACTCAACTTGCAGAAATGCTGCTGTAACCTCAAGTTCTGACCTTAAAATAAGTTTAAAATTGCCTTTCTTTCCAAACAAAAAATTGAAGACAACTTTTGTGGTGTTATATATGTAGGTAATAACATGATTTCAAGTGCAATTTGGTGTTAGTAAGCACAAGTAAATTTTTAAAAAGACAATAAAATTGCATGCATGAACCTGTAAGGCTAGTGGCAAGTGTGGTTTGTGGTCATCAAAAGATTTATAAGTGCTTATTGCACCAAATTATGTGAGAAACAATGTTCTTACTTGCTAATAATGTACATGGAAACATCACAGAAAGTCAAGACAGATGTAAATTTTTGCAGCGACATGCGCTATTTGTAATTTGCACTCGTGTTACAACTTTGCACTCATGTTACATGAGATTGCATTTGTTTTCAGCCAATCAGAAGTGCATAATTTTTTCATGTACAGTAGAGTGAAAAAACTCTTCTTGAAAAGTAGATTTGTGATGCTGATAAGTTAGGTTACCATGACAATATTGACATCCATTGTGAAAATGTAGATGGTATACTCACTGTGTGTGCTAAAGATACAATGTTTTTGAAACAAGATAAATTCTGGCTTTTCATCAATATCTATGTCAATAATAAATATTTATTGTTAAATTTCCAGCCTTTCATCTGTGTGGGTGATCCATTGCATTGCCAATACAAGGACCTCAGGTGGGCTCTGATATCATCTTTACTTTTGAAAAAAAAAATTAAAAATTAGTTTGCTAAGAAATTAATACTGTTCACTTCTGTAGCAACTGTTTTCTTTCTTGTTGCTGTATTCAAAATGAGAGAAAAATAATTCAACAAAGGGAAGAGGAAACAAGAAACAGATAAATAATTTATTGTATTAATAAATGTCTGGTTTGAAACAGACATTTTGTAAACTTACTCAACAAGTTTGGTAGGTGTTTCTTTTCACAGTTTTCATCATACTGTAGCAAATTGGGCATTGTTCTGGTAGACTGATATTGTTTGAAATAAATTTCTGTTTCTTTTCCATACTATATCCATATAAATAATGAACATCTGAATGGTGTAATATATGGTTTATTTTTACTAGTGACAAGAGGTATAAAACAAGACCCAAGTACGGAGAGTACAAGTATCTTCCCAAGTCATTATGGTTAAGTGTTGTTTTGGTATGTATAAGCACCTATAATAAATAGTTCTCAAATTTATGAAAGTATCAGTTGCTTAGGATATGGGTAATGAAATAAATGGAAAGAGGTATTTTGAATTTGTGCCATTTGGTTCGGTTTTGTGAGTGTTTTGCCCACTTTAATAAATAAGAGTTTTCACTATAGTGTAAAATTTCGAACATCAATATAATCCTTCATGTGCCATATTTCCTTGAACAAGCACCTGGGGGCTCATTTAAAATTTTGGTCTGAGGGGAAGTGCTTAATGGAACATGTGCACTCAATTTAGGGGGGCACTTATTAAGTTAGCACAGCATTAGAACAAAGATCAAAAGATCAGATAACATATATAGAGGAACTCTTCAAGCACATGGAGATAGAAATAGCTTAAATGGAAGAGAAACTATTCTTTTTTGAGGCTCAAAAGTTATAAAGTGGTAATATAAACAGGTTCCCCTTACATCCTGACTATTTAAGAAAGTGAGGAAGACAGGGGGCTGTTATTTGAGGGGTGCACTTGTTTGAAATTATTGCCTAGTGGATGGGTGCTTTTTTGAGGGCAGGAGCTTATTTGAGGAAATACAGTAACTGCTCAAATTTGGGGAAATAATATTTTTCAAATGATGTGATGTTTTAGGTTAAAATATTGAGAGAATTGCTCAATTGCTTGTTGTTACAGGCATTGTCAATGAACTGGGACTTTGTTAGAGTTTATTATTTAAACGAAGATGATTTACAAGGATTTCCAGCCCTTATAAAAGCCATAAATGCACACTCAATGACTATAATTTTTTTTTTGGTCAATGAGCTGCTGACACATCATTTGCCCAACATCACTCAGTCAGATTGTTGAATTAATGGCCACCATTAATTCCATTTGATATTTCCTGAATTTCAATTGCCTTTAGACAGTAATAAGAATTCCTACAGGTGGTAAATTTTAGTGGATAATACTGAAAAGGAGGATAATTTGTATTACTCTCCTTCCTGAAAGAAAAAATCTTGGGGAATCATGAAGATTGGAAAGTTGAAAGTGTTTGATGATTTGGTTCTCACTGATTGAAACAAGATTTGGTTTCACACAGTGCGAGGCTGCAATTTAAGGGTTTTACAAAGTTAATTAGAGGGTTAAATCCACAGACACAAAACATGAAAATATAAGGAAGTTAGCAGGGAGAATAACTGATTAGATCTTGGGAGTTTGACTCTAATGAGATGGTGGCACTATTTTGACTTATAGCATGGGGGAGTAGCATTCCTTTACCACCCATGTGCCAGTACAGAGCAAAAAATGAAGCTACGTAAATTGGCAACCAGTTGTCTACAACGGCATGTTATTACACCTTATGAGAGACTAAATCCATGCAAGGTGAGTGGTCAAATTTGTTGTTAGTGTTCAGTAAATTAGAGAGTAACTCCTTTGTTAACCTTTCTCCCATGAGTGACCAAGACAGAATTTCTCCTTAAAATATCAATACAATATCAACCATATAAGTGATGAGAATAAAGAAAAATATAAGGGTTGAGAGATTCAACCGACATTTTATGAAAGAATAGAATAATTATGTGAACATTACCCAGAACCCCATATCTGCAATTGTTGCATGTATGGTTGACATGGTTTGGGTCTAAGAGCAAGATTTGGTCTGGTCATTATGTTGTGTTATTGGGCAAGAAAAAGAAAATTTCCTCCCACAGTGCCTCTTTCCACCCAAGAGTGTAAATAAATGGTTACCAGCTGACTGGTAAGGAGGCACAATGATATGCATGTGGAGGGGGAAAAAACCCTGCAATAGACTAACATCCAATTCTTGGAAGAGTAGCAATACTCCTATTTCTTATAGAAATGATACAGAAATGGGGATAAGCTTGCAAATAGACAAAATTTAGTACTTAATTTTATTTATTGGTTGGTGTGCTGGATAGTGAATGGTAAAAGACATGTTTGTGACCCAGTGAGGCTTAGAAGGAATCAGTTTATTTTATAATTTCTCGGCCGATGTTTTACCCTCGAAGTTTCTTTCTTTCCAAATGCATTCCTGATTTAATACCCTGGATAATCTTTGATGGATTAGGATCTTGTTAAGAAAGAGACATGATGCAATATTTGATTCCTGAATTCGAGAAAATTGGCCTAGAAATTCAAGAATTAGTTTGTCTTATTTGGTGTTGTGTTTGTTTCAGCCAATTGTCATGGTAGCATGGAGCTGCTTTTATTCATCATCAGAAGTAGATATTGAAAAAGGAAAAGAGTGGATCAAGCAAAAGGCCATGAAGGGCCCTGCTACTCATGTAACAGAAAATGGGCAATATAAAGATGGAATTAAGAGCCAAGCTGAAACAGTATCAGATAAGCATGACACTCTCCTCTGTCCTGATGACATAAATGTAAGCAGATTTCAGTGATGTGCTTTGAACAAGGAGAGTGATGTTTGATTGTGCAGTAATTCTATGGAGGACTGTTGTCAGTTGAAGTGACTACCAGTAACCTTACAACAGCCATAGTGAGCCATCAGTAACTACTACTGTCCTTCTCAGTACTTATTTCACTTGGAGGATCCAACTACACTATCAAATGCTTCCCACTCTGCACTATGAAAATTTTGTGGGTTTTGGTTTTTTTCGAATTTTGTTAATTGTCCTTAGTACCTAGAAACAAGTTCCAATGGGAACAAAAAAATTGCAGAATAAAGCATGGCAAAAATTTACCTCCTTCTCTCCAAAGATTGCAATTGAGACCTAGGACAGTAAACAAGGGTTAGGGTTTACTTGCTGATGATGAGAAATTGTTACTGACACCCTTGATTACTGTAAATACAGGCGTTCAAGCCATTCTTTCCTCTGTACAATTCCTAAGTTGCTGACAAGGAGGATGTGTGTAACAGCTTCTCAAGTTAATGATCACTTCCTTGATTCTTGTGACCTTAATGTTTGAATCAAGTCTGATATCATAAGGAGAAATTAGATGCTAGTCACTCTTAGGGGTCCAATTGTGAAGCTCTCCACTATTACCTAAAGGTACCATGCACATGTGTCGATGAAGGAATTTTTACCTGAGAGTCTTTCACTCTTATTTAAAAAAGCTCAGTATGTACTGTTTTTTGTTTGTTTGTTTTTTTTATTAGTCAATGATCAAGTCGCGCAAAGGAGAGAGTCAATCCACAAGTGGCATAGAGCAAGATGCATCTCAAGAAAATGAGAGGCAAAGTAGTCAGGGATCTATCTCAATTCAAAACACAGAAGAGTTTGTGATAGTGAATGAGAGGGTGACAAGCAACCACAAATTTGATACATCGAATGCAGCATGGGCTCTGGGAAGTGTAATATTTTTATGTCTGGTCCTTGGTGGCGTATTATTCTACACCAGGCCATGGCAAAACAGAGATCACTGGTGGACACTAGATGATTATAACAGTAACACAAAGTTTAGTTTCATGAAAGCAAGAGGCCTTCGATGGAAATCAAGAACACCTCCAAATAAAAGGACAGCAGGGTATTCTCGTTTATTGAGCGCAATACCTGAAGAATTTGAAGATGACATTTAATACAAAAATTTATTTATTTGATAATAAGTTCCTTTTAGTGGACATCAGAAGGTGTTTAGTCACATGTAACATAATTCAGGGTCTTAAGTAAGCCAAAAATCTTATAAGAATCATTATACTTTCTCTGTTACATAGATCTAGATACCCCAATATTCAATGCACTTTTGATATATTATTATTTATAATAAGTTTATACCTCACATGTGAATAGTTCTTTTGGCATGTGCTGATTGGCTGATTTAGAAGAGATTAACTAGTACTGTTCACCTCCCAACAGCCAAAGAGACAAAATTGTAGGTCAACAATTTAATTTGCAACCATCTTTTGCTATATTAACAGAAATAAACTGACTTTTTGGGGTTTTGTGTGATATATAACAAAACAATGTTTGGGTGAAAGTGCTGGATATTTATTGTGTAGCTTGGTAAATATCTACCACTTTGCACCTACATTTTGGTGAACAATTGTTTATTTTTACTCCTGGTGTGCATACATTTGAAGTATGTTGGCTATTTTTTATATTAATTCTGAGATCCATTTTGGGATTGCTTTGGTATGGTGTAATATTTTCTATTCAATTTGTTTAAAGTTGCATACTGATACATAAATAAAGGATGGGTCCATGCAAAAAAGTAATTATATTCTTTAGGCTTTCATAATGGTTGGGAAAATTGTACTTTTGAAGGTTTAGGAAACATTCAATCAGTGATAATTATGATATTAACATTATGGACAACTTTTCATATGAAATTGTTTGCTTACTAGCACCATTTTTATGTAAAACTTCCCCATTGTAGTTTGGAATGGGTAGAAACAGCCTACTTATACAATTTGTTTTTTTGAAGGTATACAAGGTAAGCTGTGTGAAACATAAACTACTGCTGTAAATCGTTTCACAGGTAAACAGAAAATACGTACAAAATACAAACTTTGTTGAAGATTTAGTTTGATTAAAAAAAAAATTTTTTTTCCAAGAACTGTTTTATCTCTGGTTGTTGTACAATTTGTGGTAGTGCTAACTACCATAAAGGGAGAATTGCTGAGTTTTAAGGTCATCGTACACCCTCTTTTACAACAAAATATTGGAGAATATGAAAAAAAATGTTTGTTGTAATGTGTGGAAACAATCAAAGTGTGAATGTTCGGGAACTAATAACATATATACCACTAACTCAGTTTGAGGTCACTATTGTTAGTTACGGACCTGGTTTTTTTTTATGGCCATTAAAAAAAAAACAAGCGTCTGTCATGTGCAGTATGGACTTTGTGTGTAGTTGAAGGAAGGAAGCTGCACATGCACTCTTGGTCCATTGCAAAGGTAGTGAGGGCAACTGACATTTCTTATGTATTTTTGATCACTAAATAATTGTTAATCGTGTGGTGGCTATATTAATATATTTTGCCATGTAATCATTTTAGGTGTTTGAGAAAAATAATTTCCCCAATTCTAAGTTATTTAATAATGGTAGTGGGAGTGAGTGGAGTCCCATTTGGTCTGTAATCATACAAGTGATTACAAAGTTGAACAACCATGAAGCAGGATTCCCATTTGTTGATAATGAGTTTGAATCATAGCTATTACATTTTTTAAACAATCTGCTGAAGAAATAATTTCTCCCTGAGTTTGCAAAAGTTTGAGAACTCTACACCTAGGAGTAGTATCACAACATCAAGTTATTGTGTCAAATTCACATGCTATGGTATATAAATTGAATACTCTTGACCAATCAGATTTTCTATAAAGTCCAATGTATTATAATTAAAATTATAGCACATGAACATGCTTATAAGTTTGGCTACAGAAGTTGAAAATGTACCAGAAGACACCTATTTATTAGGCTGACATCACCTTCCAAGAGATTCTCATTGAAGAAACAACTATGTAACAAGCAAAAAGAAATCCCAGTGGCTGGGCATCCCAGCAGAAGATGAAGATTTACTATAAGATGCTTGTCACCTCGCAAGAGATTCAAATGAAGGATATTTCTCTGTATGAATGGGTCAAGAGCTTAAGAAGGAAAGCTACGAATATCTTAATTGAGAGCAAAATAGGTAAGAAGAGTATTGTCTTAAAGGGAATGTCACGACAGATACCTTAAGTACACAAGATCCAGGGAAGGTTGAGAAATAGTAGAAATTTATCAGCACTCCAGCATCACCTGTTGTTGGTCCAATCACAATCTTGAGTATAAATCTACAATATACAGGGTCATTGGGATCATTTTGACAGACAAGCATAAAAAAAAAACTCGAGGTAAAATTTGGATTTGTATCATTTTGCAGATGATTACAAATCTCTTCTCAGAGCATACCCGCAAATCTTTCATAACTCGCACGATTTTTTTCAGATTTGTTGAGGAAACTAGATGAAAAATTTGTAACCCAACTAAAACGGAAGACACCTGATTGTACATCAACATAAAATTCAACAACAATAGAAAAGAAAACTGGAAATTTCAGTAATTTTGTTTTTCAACTATAATCCACCAGACTAACGTGCGCCTCTATTCAAAATCAGTTGTAGTGAACCAACCCTCGATTCAAACAAAACAGCTGATTTTACTTACTTTGAAAAATAACCCAGATTTCTTTCCTTTAGTGTTTAGTGTCGCTAAAACCGTAACTAGATCCATAAAAGAAGGCAAAATCGATACAATTTCCAATATGGATGGGATTCAAAGCCAAATTTTTCAACTTTGTCGAGCGCGGTGACGCATCTCATCTTGCATTTTAACCCGCCGAACTAAACCAATTGAAAGTGAGAATCAAACCATCATACGATGAATGCAGCCAATTATAATTAAGAAGCAAATGCAATGATCGCGCCATTGTCTTGAAGTGTTGGTGAAAAAAAAAAAAACGGAGGGAAATTTGAGTTTGCACTAGTACAGAGCATAAAAACTAACAAAGCTTGACACGCAACACAAAGGATAGCTCAGCCTGACAGTGTTTGTTCGAACATTCTTAGTAGCCCGTTTCTTTCAAAAGATGCATCTGTAAATAACGCCTATCGTTGATTCTGGGGCTGGTGGCCAATTGCACTTCAAGCCAATCGCACCATCAGTTAAGAAATAGTTAAACTATGTAGCGACATTTTGCAGTCTCTTGACTCATCAGTCCGCTTGATGGTGTATTTTCGTTGATGGAAAATTAAACCCATTTAACTTGAAAACGTTCGCGCGATTGTTCAGATTTACTTGTTGCCATTTTTTCAGGTTTTATTCTCTCAACACCCTCCAAAGTGAGCAATAGAAATGCAATACGGAAGAGGAGGAAGGTCTCTACCGTATTCTACTGCCTCCATTCGCATGATGCATTCCATACACTTACAAGGCCATCAGAGAGTGAAGTTCTACTTCGCCATGTCTTTTTTTTTTTTTGCTCCGTCTAATCGTGTCTTGACGCAAGTCGTCAACAGAAAAAAGGCACTTACGAGACAAAACTAGTCAAGCTCTTATAGCTCATCGGTAAAAAAAGTGTTACGTCTTCACAACTGAAATTTTTCTTTTAAAAAGTAGATCTTAGCTTTATTTAAATTTATTTGAATTTTTACATTAGTTGGCGAAAGACAAATCTATGTAAAAAAAATTGTAATTTAGCGAGTTTAATGCACAAGTGTTCGCTGATAAACCTTATTTAATCATACATAGGTGCTTTTTTGCCCCATGTAGTCTCAGGTTGTCGACTTTTTTTGTCTTAGCACTAGGCGGTCTAGGGGTTGCTCATTCGACAAGCTAAGGAGCGCAGGTCAAATGCCCCGCACTTTTGGCGACCTGAAATCCCGTTTTTCCATTTGTTTTGATCCGTTACCATGGATTTCACTAAATCTGGCAGTCTCCACAGCGACCAACCGCTGATAAAACATGGCCGCGTACCAGGTGGGGGCCTGGAAAAGAAAACAATATGTATTAAAAAGAGTCCAACTATAAACTTTTAACTCAGGTTGTTGACCTAGCGTGAACTAAACAGCTTGGAAAATAACAATTTTGTTTAAAGCTATGCAATCACGGTTGCGTAAGGCAAAATTTCGGTTATCTCCGGCTTCTTGTCATCGCTGGCGCAAAATCGTTCGAATGCGCGCTTATGAAAATAATCTGATTATGACGTTAAATCAGAGGAGATCCATTTTTCCGTGAGGAAAGTAAGCGTCAAAATGCCGATGGTAACATTTTGGCGCACCTTCATTGAAGCTTTACATGCGTTAATATTTTTTGGATATTTTAAGAGAGAAGAAAGGTAGGGCACGAAACTGGCAAAAAATGTCACGATGTTATGACGGAAAACGTACATTTTCTTCTTGTCGAACGGGCCGATCTTGCGCTAAAAAGTATCTCGAAAAAGTAACTCGAAATTCCATAACTATTACAATGGTTGGTATTTTGAAAACAAAGAAACACATTCTGAACAGAATCCGTTATTGAATGACCAAATTTTAAATCTCAGGGAAAAAACGCTGGTGGGGAAAATGCAATTCTGAGCTCTAGATATTCGTCCCTTCTTTCTCTACGCTCAGTGACTTAGAAAGAAAGCAAAGATTTTCTTTCAATACACTGACTTTCCCTAATGCTTCAAAAAAAAAAAGACACGCATGCACTTTTTGCGTTACTTATGGGTGTTTGAAACAAAATGCGAAAGTTCACGCAGCAAAATTATACAATTTGGACTCAACAATTTACACGAGAGGGGGGGGAGTGAAGAAGAAGAGAGAGGATGTGAGGGGAGGGCAGGGTAGGGGAGAAAGGGAGGAGAGAGGAGATGGGAGATTTTGGGAGAGAAGGGAAGGGTTGAGTTGGTTGGGGGAGAAAAGGGATGTAAGGGAAATAGCAGGAAAGGGGGGGGAGGGAATGCTAGCAAGCTAGGGTGAATTAAAACAATTAATTTCTTTACCTTGTAGTGTGGCTGTGAAAAATGAAGTTTCAAACAGTCAAAAGGAAAACCCTGGCCCAAGTGTAACTGACAAAGATAAAACTTTTCAAAATCACAAAAAAATTCCTGACCCAAGAATAACTGACAAAGATAAAATTTCTCCAAATCGAAAGAAAATTCCTGGCGCAAGTGCAACTGACAAACATAAAACTCGTCCAAATCGAAAGAAAATTCCTGGCTCCAGTGTAACTGACAAAGATAGAGATGCTGAAAGTCCTGGCCCAAGTGTAGGTGACAAAGATCATAAAGCTGAAAGTGCTGGCAAGAGTGCAACCAAAAAAGATAAAAAGGCTGGAAGTCCCAGCCCAAGTGGAACCAAAAACGATAAAAAAACTGAAAGTCCTAGCTCAAGTGCAACCAAAAAAGGTAAAAAAGTTGAAAGTCCTACCCCAAGTGTGGTTGAAGAAGACCATGAGTATAAGAAAAGGTCCAAGATCAAGAAAAAGATAAAACCTAGAAAGCAAAGAAGAAAAGAAGAAAAAAAGTCAGAAAAAGATAAAAAAGCTGAAAGTCCTGGCCCGATTGTAGGTAACAAATATCAAAAAGATGAAAGTCCTGACTCAAGTGTAACTGAAAACGATAAAAAAGCTGTAGGTCCTGGACAGATGGCAACCAACAACAATAAAGAAGGTGAAAGTCCCCGCCCAAGTGTAACTGAAAAAGATCAAAAAGGTGAAAGTCCTGGCCCAAGTGCAACCAAAAAAGATCATAAAGATGAAAGTCCTGGCTCAAGTGTAACCGAAAAAAATGAAAAAGTCCAAAGTCTTGGCCCAACTGTAAGTGACAAGGATCAAACAGCTGAAAGTACTGACTCAAGTGTAACCAAAAAAGATCAAAAAGTTCAAAGTCTTAGTGCAACTATAGGAGACAAGGATCAAACAGCTGAAAATCCTGACTCCAGTGTAACTGAAAAAGATCAAGAAGTTGAAAGTCCTAGCCCAACTGTAGGTGACAAGGATCAAACAGCTGAAAGTCCTGGCTCAAGTGTACCTGAAAAAGATCAAAAAGTCAAAAGTCCTAGCCCAACTGTTGGTGACAAGGATCAAACAGCTGAAAGTCCTGACTCAAGTGTAACTGAAAAAGATCAAAAAGTCAAAAGTCCTAACCCAACTGTAGGTGACAAGGATCAAACAGCTGAAAGTCCTAACTCAAGTGTAACTGAAAAAGATCGAAAAGTCAAAAGTCTTGTCCCAACTGTTGGTGACAAGGATCAAACAGCTGAAAGCACTGCCTCAAGTGTAACTGAAAAAGATCCAAAAGTCAAAAGTCTTAGCCCAACTGTAGGTGACAAGGTACAAACAGCTGAAAGCACTGACTCAAGTGTAACTGAAAAAGAACTAGAAGTCAAAAGTCTTAGCCCAACTGTAGGTGACAAGGTACAAACAGCTGAAAGCCCTGACTCAAGTGTAACTGGAAAAGATCTAAAAGTCGAAAGTCTTAGCCCAACTGTAGGTGACGAGGATCAAACAGCTGAAAGTACTGCCTCAAGTGTAACTGAAAAAGATCCAAAAGTCAAAAGTCTTAGCCCAACTGTAGGTGACAAGGTACAAACAGCTGAAAGCACTGACTCAAGTGTAACTGAAAAAGATCTAGAAGTCAAAAGTCTTAGCCCAACTGTAGGTGACAAGGTACAAACAGCTGAAAGCCCTGACTCAAGTGTAACTGGAAAAGATCTAAAAGTCGAAAGTCTTAGCCCAACTGTAGCTGACAAGGATCAAACAACTGAAAGTACTGCCTCAAATGTAACTGAAAAAGATCAAAAGGTGAAAAGTCTTAGCCCAACTGTAGGTGACAAAGTTCAAACAGCTGAAAGTACTGACTCAAGTGTAACTGAAGAAGATAAAAACGCTGACGGTCCTGGCCAGTGTGCAACCGACAACAATAAAGAAGGTGAAAGTCCTGGCCCAAGTGCAACCAAAAAAGATCAGAAAGCTGAAAGTCCTGGCTCAAGTGTGACTGAAAAAGATCAGAAAGCTGAAAGTCCTGGCTCAAGTGTAACTGAAAAAGATCAAGAAGCTGGAAGTCCTGGCCAGAGTGCAACCAAAAAAGATCAAACAGCTGAAAGTCCTGACCCAAGTACAACTGAAAAAGGTCAAAAAGTTGAAAGTCCAACCCCAAGAGTGGGTGAAGAAGACCATGGGTATAAGAAAAAGTCCAAGATCAAGAAAAAGAGAAAACCAAGAAAGCAAAGAAGAAAAGAAGAAACTAAGTCACAAAGTGCGGCCGAAAAAGATCCAGTCAGTTTAGACTATAAAGAAATGCCTGTTCCAAACATGGCTGAACAAGACCCTGCCATCTTGGATTATAAAGAAAAGCCTGTTCCAAGTGTGGCTGAACAAGATCCTGCAATCTTGGACTTTAAAGAAATGACTGTTCCAAATGTGGCTGAACAAGACCCTACCATCTTGGATTATAAGGAAAAGCCTGTTCCAAGTGTGGCTGAACAAGATCCTGCAATCTTGGACTTTAAAGAAATGCCTGGCCAAGGGTAAGTGAAGGTCTCCAAAAAGACAGAAAAAAATGTACAGATTGCCAGGGTGGTGGAAACAAAAATTTGGAGTAATTTGGGCACAAAGATTAATTCCACTCCCTGTCTAACAAATTAATTCTATGTTGCTGTGCGCCTGTTCAGTAATAAATCACAGACACTATCAAAATGTGGTAAGAGCAAAAAATGGCACAGATGCTCTTAGCACATTATGACATCTTCTGTGATCTATCATTGTGCGGACCGACAACAACATGAAGTCCATTTTATATGATAAAATAAGAAAGATGTTGATGGTGGCATCATCTTTGTATCTGCCCTTTAACCCTTTACACCCTAACATCACATTCTAACATCACGATGCATAGACAAAGATGTTTTTTTGTCTTGTCACAAGTGTGGGACAAAGAAAAAATTCTGAGTCCCCATGTGGAATCAAACCTCAGACCTTTACATTCTATGCTCTGATGCTCTACCACTAAGCCACAGAGACTCCACAGTGAGCAAGGTCAATTACGAAGTTCATACGACACATGTCCTGCATACTGCTAGGATCAGCAATGTTGATAGTGTAATGCTTGTAGATAGAAATAAGAGAGATGGTGAATTTTGAGCTCAGTAAAGAAATAGAGAAAGATGTTTTTTTCCTCTTAACCTGAGCATGGGACAAAGAAAAAATTCTGAGTCCCCATGAGGAATTGAAGCTCAGACCTTTGGATTCCGCATTCCAATGCTCTACCACTTTGCCACAGAGACTTCACAGTGATCATGATGCATATTCTCCATACTGTTCCCTACATATTTTCTTAGGTGCTGTCAAGGAGAATTTTTTTATCAATCAAAAGTTTCGTTAGTTGGTGATCATTTCCTCAAATTGCGTGACTAAGAAGAGAAATAAGGTGCTTGTCATTCCTTGGGGTCCTGGGGTCAATAGAACATAAGTAAAATCCAATTAAAATGTGCACATAATTCAGCTTATCATAAAAAAAGCCTACACCCTGTAAAAAATCAATTTACGAGAAAAGAGGCTAGAGTCCAAACTCCATTCAAAATATGTTTTAAACTTGTTAAATGAACTACAATATTTGGCTAAAATAAGAATTCCAAGACTTCCTAAAATTTCAGACATAGAGGAAACGAATTTCCGCTAATGAAAACTCAGTGAAAATGTCCAAGTCAGTTTTCCAATGTCAAGGTTAGAGTTCTTTGACCTGATTGGCTAATTTAAATCATACGAACTGCGTGTGAATACAAAAAGAATACAAAGAGGAAAGAGGAAGAGAAAAATTGTGACTTGAAATTTGAAAACAAAAGAGATTTTCAACATAATTCAGCTTATCATACAAAAGGCCAACACCCTGACCACAAAGGCAGCTTTTATCAGAAAAAAACAACATATGGAGAAGATCAGGATCTACGGCAGAAGAAGACAGAGCTATTCTATACTTCGGAGATTAGCACATGCACTGTATTCTTCATAAACATAGTCTTTGTTTTTCATAAGAAAGACACAGCTATTGAAAAATATAAAGAAATGCCTGGCCAAGGGTAAGAAAAAGTATCTGGCTAAAGAAGACATGACCATATTAAAGGCTCAGAGGCTATTAAAGGCTATTAAAGGCTATTGAAGGCAGCTTTAGAAAAGAAGAATAAAATGCTACAAAAAAAAATAGAAAATCAAGAAATAACAAGATCTACAGCAGAAGAAGACACAGCTATTCAAGACTTCAGAGACTAACGCATGCTCTGTATTATCGGAAAACTTAGTTACGTCTGTACAAGAAAAACCCAGCTTCTCAAAATGTTAAGAAATGCCTTGGCAAGAGTAAGTAAAAGTCTCTGGCTGAAGAAGGCACGACTAAGCTAAACTTCAGAATACCCGGCCACTTTGGTCCGCCTCACTTACATGTGTCGAGAGGCTTTGAAGATCGAGGCAGAATACAATAGACGCTATTATTCAATGACATGTAAATGAGTGGCTGGGTATTCTGAAGTTGCTCCGAAAAAAACACGAAAATCCAGAAGTATCAAGATCTATGGCAGAGGACACGGCTATTCTAGATTTCAGAGACTTGCACATGCTCTGTATTCTTAAAAACCTTGTTCTTTGTTTTTACAAGAAAGAACCAGCTATTAAAAACTCTAAAGCAATGTCTGGCCACGAGAAAGTCAAAATATCTGATCTGGCGGAAGAAGCCACGACTATCTATGGTGATTCTTGAAGAATTTAAATGCCTGGAAAAGTGTAACCAATAATTTTTTGTCACAGGAAAACCACTTTCTTGACAAATATTAATAGACTTACCTCTCTGCTTGACTCCTGGCCCCATTAAAGTACAAGTCACAACAGTCTCCAGCGAACTAGTTCTTCTCGATTGATTTTGCGCTAACGAGCGTAAATAGCGTAGTTCGAGAAAATGTTTACGCGGCTTGGTAAGGAAGACAAGTGAAAGCAGTTTGGCGTGCCTCCTTGCCAGTTATCCATTGTGACTCTTGTTATCGGCCTCTAGAAGGCAGAATCTTATCAGCCCAGCTACGTTAGACATTTATATATACATATATTTGTCTGGAGCAAGATAAGTAGTAGGAAATTGCCGAATAAGACAGTTAAGTCGGACGGGAGAGTCTGGATCCTTCTTCCCAAATAGGAGCCCAGTGCATGCTGGGAAGGTATCAAAATGGGAAAGGATCTTGTGCATGGTATTGAGAATTTATAATCACGAGGTGTGAGGAAGTGTACTTTGCTCACGTCGTTTAATTGTGCGGCTCTGTTCGTGCGATCTGATAACTAAATTGAAAAACAGAAGTTATTTCAAATACAAAAAAAAAACTTCCCGGTGTATTAGTCACCTGATTGTTCCATTGCCTCGCACTTCCTAGGATTCGTCACATGTTATCTCAAAATGTATTTTTTTAAGATGTTTTTGTCTTTTGAAAATCGATGTTTATCAAACTCTGTGATTCAAGTGTTTTAAAACGGACTCACTTTTAGCATTTCATCATTCCAGGTTAAATAATGCGACGAAAATTGAGTTTGCTGGCCTCTCTGATTAAGTGATAAATTCTCTTTACTAGAACAAAACGAGCAATAGTAACGCGGGAGCGAACTAGTTCCATTACACGCAGGATTTTATGAAAGGAAAGGAAATAGAAGCGGTCGCTTCCTTATGACTACTTAGAAACCTTTCCAGAGTTGATGTCGCAATCAATGAGTTAGGTTTCCACTTGATTCACTGAAATCGTCGACGCTATACGCGTTTTATCTGCGAAAATGTGGCTGTGAAACTCATGGAATATAAAGTGCGAAGTTTCCTAGAGTATGAGTTTACAGAAACATCGAAGCAAAGGCCGTGGAGGCAGTGGCAGGTAGTTATTCTTAGAGTTACAAAAACTTTCTCGGAATTCTTTTATCGTCTGTTAGTCCTGACAATCTGATCAAAACCTTAAGCTCAATCATATTTTGTTTGATGAAGAGGAACTAATTCAGTACCGGCGAGTCAAGGGTCTAATTTTCAGCCGTGATGCAATTTTATATAAACGGAAGACTATCGACCGGCTCTTTTTTAAACTTCATTCTTAATTCCCCAAGATTAGTGTGGCTTTCGTGTGGTAGCATTGCGAGGATCATTAATTGAATATCCCGTTATAGTTTTTGCTTGACCCACCCAATTACACCGAGTTTTGACATGAGAAGCATTTGTCGTCAACGTGGACTACACCACCTTGTGATACACTCATATCATTCTCTCGCAAGAATATTTTCATTGTGGTATTTCCTCGATGACAACTATTTACCCTGTCATTTTTAAGATGTGCAACCATACAAACATCAATATAGTGTTGAAAATATCACGCGAGATCACGCCAAACCAGCCTTGGTGAAATTTTGTTCATCTCTTATCATGCCCCTCTGATTCTTGGCCGATGTGAAAATATCGTTCTCGTGTTTATGGTATTTCCGAAAAATTTCTCTGCTATGGGTTACTTCTTTTGCCAGCGTGTTTGGATTAATATTGCTCAAGATCAGTGGCTCAGTTAAGTAATTTGAAAGAGATCAAGTTTACACGTTGAAACAGAGATTTGTATAGCCTGGAGTGGTTCTTCCGTTGTATCTGTCGTTGACTATCTATTTTTATCCCGCTCTCTAAATATCGTGTTTCATGCAGGTAACATATATTTAATGTCTGGTTTTTTATTTTTTCAGGGGTCAAAAGAGTTACAGACCAGGTTCCAGTGCAAGTCCTCCACCTCCGACGCTTAACTTTGCCAATGTAAGTTTGAGAAAATAATTCCTGTGCAATCGTGTGGATTATTAACTTTTAAAGATTTTAATTTACATTCGATGTCAATCTAAGCTGCTTAATATGTGCCATTGTTGCTCACTTGTATCTTTTATTAGTTTGAATGTTGTATACTTTCTGAAATTTCTCATCCCCTCTTGCCATTCTTTTTTTCAGTCTGACAATGGACATACCACAGACATCTTTGCAAACAAGTTCATGGTTTACTATGTTATCAGCAACTTGGTAAGCATGTACTTGTATTTCCACATGTGTGTTTTACTGGATTAACCCTTAAACTCTTAGATCAAATTTGTAATTCTCCTTACAGTCAACCTTATAATTCTTATAATGTTCAGAGAATTTAGTATTAGATCAACTATCCTCAAATTGATATTTTTCTTTATTCTCATCACTTATTTGGTTGATATTGTATTGACATTGTATTGATATTGTAAGGAGAAATTCTGTTTTGGTCATTCATGGGAGTTGAAGGGTTCAAGTACAATTATCAGGTTCCCTCTTTCTTAACAGATGTTACCCTACTTGGATCTAACTTCTACTTAATTCATGCACCTTAGAGTGAGAGTCGCACAACTTAACAGTTGTGTGATTCTTTTGGAAAATCTCTGAATTGGGATAGTGTGATATTAGATCACTTAATAAACCCTGATTGATACTTTTCTTTATTCTCATTACTTGTGTGCTTGATGTTGTACTGTTATTGTGAAGAGAAATCCTCTCTTGATCACTCATGGGAAATAAAAGGTTGATTATATGTTAACCTAATTCATGCAATGTTTCCAATGTCTTTATCTTTTTGCTGGTAATTCTCATTCACCTAGAAAAAGAAAAGAATATTAAAACTGTGCTTCAATTCACTCTTTGTACAGGGTGAGACAGCTCGTGTTCAGGTTCAGAATGGTGATATTTATGAAGGAGTCCTCAAAGCCGTTTCCTCTAAGGTTGGTTTTCAACAGAATGTTTCACCCAATTTAATATAAAGAATCCATATTGTTGTGGGTCTGTAATAGATCACAGACTATGTAAAAATGTGGTAAGAACAAAAAAGTGGCAGACAAAGCGCAGCCATGATTGTCCCTGATACTCTTACCACATTTTGATGTCCTCTGAGATTTATTACTATACAGACCCAGAGGAAACAGGGAATGTGTTTGTTCTATCCAATAAAAAAAGCAAATTGTTGTTGATAGTGATGTCACATCTGTGTCTGTCCTCCAATAGATCCGAAGTATGAGCCAATCAAAATGCATGTACAACTCAGATTATCGTATAAACCCTATATACCCCAACATCATTATACTGTTCTTTGTACAATCCCTAAGGTGCTGACAAGGAGAATTTGTTTAACAATCAAGAGCTTCTTCTTTAGTCGGCGATCATTTCTTTTATTCTCATGACCCTAATGTGTGATTCTAGGGTGATACTGTAAGGAGAAATTCTATGCTAGTCACTTTAAGGGGTCAAAGGGTAAACAGAAATTATCTGCACCTATAGTTCCAAAAATTTCCCATGGCATTGGCAAAGAATCATAAATTCTTGAAACTGGAATGAGAAAATTTTCTCTTCTGCAGTTTGACTGTTCCTTAGGCGAAGCTCATCTTGTGCAGCAAAAGAAAAGCAATGGACTTGTTATTGAGGTGATTATGCCATGATATATTGGAAAATAGAATGCCTGTTTTGTTATTATATGGCTGTGGTAACAAGGTAGTTTCATTTATCAACTGAGTTGATCCACTCTGATGAAGGGCTAATGCTTGAGACACCAGCTTTAGACTCTTTTATATGACTCTTTAGTTTTATTTAGACTCAGTTAATAAAACTAAATTATATTGATATACCACCCACCGACACAGCACCACAGTTTCTTTAGAAGCACACCCCTTTTTATTCATTTGTGGCAAGAGGAGGTTGCATGGAAGTGATCAACTTGCACCAGCACAAATAAAAAAGTTGATGATGATGATGATGACCACAGTGATGAAAGAATACACCCATTACAGTCAGTTTTCATTGTGATCTGATGGAGACTTGTAGAGTACCATTAAAACACTGCAATCTACAACTCAACCCTTTCACTGCCAAGATCTTATTGGAAATTCTCCTTTCTGTCTGCTATACAGTTCTTTTGATGTTAATTCAGAGAATTTGGTATTTGATCAACTTATTATTCCCTAATTGAAATAATTTTTTATTCCCATTACTGATCTGCTGGATATTGTATTGATATTGAAAGGAGAAATACTGTCTTGGTCAGATGTGGGATTAAAAGCGTTAGGCAATTCACCACAGTAATTCCACTTGATATAATAATGTATATTACTTTTCTAAGGATGAACGAATTTTACCCAGCCGTGATGGTCTTATCAGCACTCTCGTGATTGCTCTGAAAGATATTGTGAGTGTTAATATAACCAAAACAGAGGAACCAGAGATTGTCATCTCAGTTGGTAAGACTTCCTTTCAGAACATTTGTATGACTGAGTTACAGATATGATTAATGGGCTGAACCCAATAATCAGTAGAATAGTCTGATCATCTAGGATAATGTAATCACAAAAAGGACTCACCAACATTTATACAACCCAAGCAGAAGTCACTGGAGTCAATTGAGGAGCTGTTGGTCATTCAGCTCTTGGCATAACTCTGATGATGTGTTCCACTTGGATTGTTGCAGTTCTTTTCAGGATTGCGCTACCTTAGAGAATCTCTTTACACCATCAACCATAAATCCTGGTTCACAAGTTTTTAACTCCTTACACCCTAACATCAGTATGCAAACTCTTCATACTATGCTCTATACATTTCCTAAGGTGCTGGTAAGGAGAATTTGTCTAACTATCAAGAGCTTCTTTAGTTGGTGATCATTTCCTTTGTTCTCATAACCTAAATGTGTGATTCCGGGAGGATATTGTAAGGAGAAATTAGGTGCTAATCACTCTTAGGGGTTAAAGGATTAAATTGTGAGGAACACCCACACGAGACAAATGAATTTAAAAAATGATTTTCAGAAGATATGTCACAACTTTTGAGGCATTGTTTGAATATGGCAACAACAAAATATTTGTTGAATAAAAGAAAAAATATTAATAAGAGGCAATATTAAACACGGAAGGAAGAAGAATGATTGAGGAATTTGGAGTTTCAAACAGATTGAAAATGATTAACTTAAGAAAATTTGAATTTAATGCCTTAATGCGAGTATTGATTCATTGTGTGCCTTGGGACCCACCTTCTAATGAGAGTCTGTTGGAAAACTACTTGTAGAATCAAGTACAAGAAGTTGAACTTTGCATGCTCAATTTTTTTTTATCTTTCAGATTCTTTCACAGATGCAGCCATCACTAATGTTGCTCAGAAGCAAACAAATGGTCAAATCAATGAGCGGAAGCTGGAGGTATGTATGCCTTTAGATGGATTTTCCCAGGTTTGATTTTAGATGTAAGATCTTATGAAATCAAATTATTTCCCTTTGACTCTCTTCTGGGCACAGCACTCTAAGGAAATTGGATCAATAGCAGTATCTGGGAAACTGCCCACCTATCCCTCCCCTAATCCAACATTAACCCTAACTTGTTATCAATTGACTGTTTTTGGGTTAGGGGAGGGGTAGGTGGGCAGTTGTCCAGATACTGATATTGATCCGGAAATTTCATGAATACTTGTAACTCATTTCCAGAAGGTGTGCATTGTATTAATCAAAATGTGGCATGCTTTTCTGTGTTGTAATACTGTTGTCTTTCATCTTCAGAGATGGGTTCCAGATGGTCCTGACATTGGAGGAGGCTTGGAAGATAATGTGAAAGTGGTAAATAAATTTTTTTCAATTGGGTCTTTTTAGTGTAGTTGCCAATGTTGATTAGATGTTTAAGTAAACAACTTTGACATTAGTCAACCCTTTAACTACCAGAAGTGTGGAACACATAACTTCTCCCTAAAATATCCATACATTCTCCAGCAAACAGGTGGTGAGAATACTCAAGTTAATCCAATAAAAGTTGTAATCTTGATCCAACACTAAATTCTCAAGACTAATTTTTAAGGAATTGTGTAGCAGCTAGAGGGGAGAATTCACAATTTAATCTTAGGGGTTGAAGGGTTAAGTATATACAATTTGCATCAGTGAAGCAATACTTTTTTGTACTATGAAATTAAAGTGAATTTGAGCAACTACATTCATGAGGGATTTTTTTTTCAAACTGGATGGATTTTTGGATTTTTTTTTGACATAGTGAACAAATTACAAATTGTTGATTGATACATTGCTTGAAGATTTTTTTCCATGGAAAGTACAGGTGTTTTCAGAGCAATTTCTTTTTTGACATTTGGAACAAAAAGTGTTAAGATGTGTTTTGTTTCAAAGCATTTCCCCAAATGGCTGCTGTGTTTCCTGGTTTGTTTTGCTATTGTTGAAAACCAGCTGTTGAATGGTACCTGTTCTTTGTGTCATGCATGATTAATTTCCTTCAGACATTTTTTTTACTTAGATCATTGATCATGTTTAAAACATCCAATATGGCCTCTGTATAGAGTGGTTCTATCTTTGCTCGTTTCTTGATGCTCTGAACTTGTGTTTTTGTGGCAAGATTCTGAATTCAAATCATCATTTTCCAGTTTCCACTCCATTTGGTCTTCTTTTTGTGTGAATCATCTGGGGTTTGATGATAGAACTGTCTATAATATTTGAGAGAAACCTGGCAAATTTTCATTTTTAGAATTTATCACACATTTTGGTGAAAGAATTGTTGATCTCTTGGAATTGAGAACTCAGCCAGTTACTAGATTTTCTTGTGACCGGATCATAGCTTTGTCAATGAGCTCTCCTGTCAGTTTGGGTTAATGGTGTCATGGCTGTAAGCATTTTTGTCATGGGACAAAAACTAAGCCAGTTTGCAAGCGGCGATGTTGAAGTTGATGTAGATGTTCAGGTAGTGTACATCACTGTGGGAAATGGCTAAGAATTTATTAGCTTCTAGAAGTATTCTTATGATGATGGTGATGGTTAATCAAATGTTTTGGTTAATATAGAATGGCTGGTCAGCAGATGAGATGTTCAAAACCAACGAGGAAAAGTTTGGTGTTAAATCAACATACAATGAGGATTTGTTGGAGTACACGTAAGTGAAATGCAAATCTTCCACAAGACTGGGAAATAAAGCTTTACATCTTAAGCTCAAGCCAAAACAGTACAAAAGTCTTGCTTATTTACCTGTTAATTTTCATTAGAACACCACTTCCAAAGGATAGCACTGGTGAAATGGAGCTCAAAGCGGAACAAGCAGCTCGGGAAATTGAGCAGGTACTTATTTTTTCTACTAACCCTTTAAATCCTGGAGGTGATTCACATGTAATTTCTTCCTATAATATCCAGCAAACTGGTGATGAGAATACTGAAATGTATATAGTGGAAGTTGACCTTGATCTAACATCAAATTCTTGTAACTTATGTACAAGGAAATGTGAAGCAGTCAGAAGGAAGAATTAACAATATGATATCTTGTGATTGAAAGGTTAATGTTTTCTATGCCAAACAGTATTTTACATTTTGACTATTGAGGTTAACTAATGGATGGTTTTCTCTGCTTTCATTTGCATTAAAGTCCAAAGGGCACTTGCACCGGCAAGAAGTTGATAGTGGTAAAACTGAAGAGGAACTGTATGCAGCTGTTTTGAGACCTCAAACCACAAGTGCAGATCCAAGAACCCCTCAGGTGTCTCCTGGACAGTCTTCTGTAGAAGGAAAGCCACAAAGAGAAGGTATCTTGGCAGTAGACATTTGAACTTTTACCTTTTATATCATTGAACTAAGCAATGAACTTAAATTGTAGCCCACCCACAGGGATCACTGCTTTACCTGATTTTCTTCCACAGGTCAAATGAATTTTTTTTTCATTCAGAATTATGATGAGATTTCTCCATGGGAAAGAAGAACCCTAGAAAATGTGCCCCTCTGCCAAAATGTGGCTCTATAGCTCAGTTAGTAGTAGCACGCAACTAGTGTTTTGGAGGCACAGGTTCAAATCCTGTCAAAGCCTTCAATTTTTTAGGATTCGTTTTTCCAATTGCTTGAATTGCAGCTCACCTGCAAAGATCATTGCTTTTCTTGATTTTCATCCACAACTCAAATGAAATTTCTTTCATTGAGGATTATAGTAAGTTTAATTATAGTGTCTTTTGCCTCAATCTTTAGCTGCTCCTGAAACAACTCCATCATCAGATGAGAGAAAAGCTACAGACACCGACACACCAGCAGTACAGGTGAATTTAATTGAATGTAAAAGTTTACATTTAAATAACTTTCTGTTAATTCTTTTACCTCTAAGAATGACTAGCATCAAATTTTTCTTTACAAAATAACCCCTGAATCACACACTAAGGTCATGAGAATAAAGGAAATGATCACCAACTGAAGAAACTCTTGATTGTTAAAGAAATTCTCCTTGTCAGCACCTAAGAAAATGTAAAGAGAACAGTGTGAAGAATATGCATACTGATGTTTGAGTGTAAAGGGGTTAAACAGCTTTCAAACAGGCCATCATTAATCAAGAAAATCCCCCCAGTCATTTACAGTTTTCTGCATGATTATTTTCTTAGGAAAATGCCAAACCTGCAAGTGCTGTTACTGCGAACAGTGAAAACACTGTGACACACTCCTCTGGCGGTCAAAGCTTAAAGGAATTGTCCATCGTAGGACAAACAGCTTCTACAGACACTCAGGCCTCTGGTTCCAAAGCAAACCATTCTGAAGTTGTGAAAGGTAAAGGAAGAAATTGTGAGATTCTCCTTGTGTAAACATTTTATTTGTTTATATGGTTATTTGGGGCATTTGTGGATATAGGAAATTTAACAAAGGTATGTTTTTTTTATTATCATTATTATTCTGCAGATCTGAAAGAGTTTCATTCCAACTTCAATGTAAGTTTAGCTCTTTTATCTCATAAAATGATGTGATTGGTATATATCTAATGAAACAGAAAAACTTATTTGACATTTCACATATTTAAGATTTAGAATTCAAACTTCAAATTTTCCAGAGATCACCTTTATCAGTGACAGATTATAGTGGGAAGGTCAGAGTTATGGCAGTCTAGTTTGAAAATGTTGAGATACAGGCATCAATGAAACTCATTGTAGCATGGAAATCTTAAGAAGCAGATCACCAAAATTAATTGTATCAACTCGTATTTGTTGGGTTTTCTATAGCTAAAAGAAAAGTCTTCCAAGAAGGCAAAAGATGTGCAGCAAACAGTTCCTCAAGAGGCAGATCAGGCTGAGGCTACAGTGACTAAGACCACTACATCCTCTGTCAATGGTATATATTTTCTTAAAAACATATAATTAAAAGGGTGTAGGGGAAAAGACCAAAGTGACTCTGGATCAACCATTAGATTCTCCTTCCAAGTTATTTTGTGCTGTTCATGGTCAATTAGGGAACTGGAAGAGCTAATTTTAAATTAAATTCTCTCGCATCTTGAATACTTTGTCAAGCATAGAAGTGATGTGTTTATGATAGAATCTCCAGAATTCTCTGAACCCTGCGACCCTTGAGAGTGACCAGCATGTAATTTCTCCCTAAATTATTACCCTTAAATCACACACTAAGTTCACAAAAATAAAGGAAATGATCATCAACTAAAGAGGATCTTGATTGTTAAACAAATTCTCCTTGTCAGCACCTTAAGAAATGTATGGTAAACAGTATGGAGAATATGCAAACTCATGTTAAAGGGTAAAGGGTGGATGATCCACAGTAGACCTGGATTACGGTTACAAGACATTTTGATTTTGAGAAATATGAATTGTTGTTAATTGTGGTGGTCTCTTACACATTTTTGGACTCACCTTTGGTTGAAAATGAATATCCCTCTTTGTCTGACTGTTCACATATCTCTCTCTCGTAGAATCAGGGACGCCATCTTCTCCAGATGTGGCCAAATCAGAAGAGAAAAAAGATGGAGAAGCAAGGTAATTGAAGTTCAGGTTTACTCAAGTAAATTTAGAATTTTGTAGTCCTGTTTTTTTCTTGTTACAAAGTCAAGTTTTTCTAATCCTGCTATGTCTTACTTTCTAGCATTCTGTCTACTTCAAAGCTAAATCCATATGCTAAAGAATTCAAATTCACTCCCAAGGCTCAAGTAAGTTAACCATTTGACAAGCAACTATTTTCTCCTTACAATATCACCTCTGAATCATGCAACGAGGTCACAAGAGTAGAAGAAATGATCACCATCTTTAGAGTCCCTTGATTCTTAGTCAAATTCTCCATGTGAGCACCTCAGGAAATGTATATAGAGAACAGTACATAGAGAATATGAATGCTGTTGTTGGGGTGCAAAGGGTTAATAGTTAGTTCTGATTGTGTCTCTATTTAAAACTTTATTTCCAAAGCGAAGAACAGTGTCGTCAGCATGCTCTATACTCTCATAGAGCACGCTACAATAAGCCAATCAGAACCCCTGTTAGAATGGTTCAAATAATCTGATTGGCTGTACAAGACAAAAGCTGCCAAAAGTGTCAAACCATCAAAGTTCAAAAACCATCAAAGTTCACACTCTGCGATACTTTACAAACTAAAATAATTCGGCAGGTCGAATTTAACGCTTTTGCCTGAATTTTTTAATTCAGAATCTTGAAGTGAAATGTTCAGTGAACTTCAGCCGAATTATGGCTCATAAAAACACGCGGGTTTTTTCACATGACAAGGTAGAGAACAAACTGTTCAAGGCGAGTGTTTTTTAAATGAACGACAGCCGAATTCACTGGAACATGAAGATCGCTCGGGATGACAGCGCCGCAAAACTCGGCTGCAGTGACTGAAGTGACTTTCCACTCAACACATTGGAAAGGATATCAGAGCGAGCTCTTATTTTTTCACTCGAAGGGCGGCATGGTAAAGGCCTATTTACACGGTACGACTTTGTCGCATGCGACAAGCTTACGACAGGCCTACGACACGAATTGTATCGTGTAAATCAAACCTACCACTCGCTTACGACTGTCGTGCACGTCACGAAAAATGTCGTAGGATTTTAAAACATGTTTTAAAACGCTGCGACAATCGTAGCCGAAATTGATAGAAAATGACGTATTTTGTGACAAATTTCTACTGAGTAGGGGAGGAAGGTGAAATTTTCTTGCGTCAAAATGGCGGAGGAAGTCTCCTCCGGAAAGTCTAAGACTGCTTCCAAAGCGAGAAATACATTCTCAGATGAGGAAACAGAGAATATGATATCACTGTGGAGCGAGGAAGAGGTTCTTTTCCTTCTCTTGCAAATTATTGAAACAATGACCGCGGCCGAAACGAGTGGAATTGCACGCGATTTTGGCATGTCGTAGGTGAAAATGTCGTGCGCGTGTAAATTGTCCTAAGTCATGTCGTAGGCCTGTCGTAAGCTTGTCGCATGCGACAAAGTCGTACCGTGTAAATAGGCCTTAAGTGAGCCGCGATGGACTTCAGCATGATCATATTTGCTCAGACACCGTCATGATTAGTATGAATTTTAACAATTATGCCAGTTTGGTTATATTTTTCATCATTTCTGTTTTGTTCTGTTTTGTTTTTTAACTCTGAACTTTATATACTATACGAGTGTTGGCTGTGTTTGATTTTCATTACCGTACGTAAGCTTGCAATCTAACTGAGCGTGAAAATCTTTAAAACTCGGAATGTCTATTTTGTTTTTCCTTTGAGGATTTTCGTATCTGCCCACGTTTTAATAACGTAAATAACGGCGCCTGGTATGTTTACAAACCTTTCTTTGGTTCTTCTGTTACTACTTGCCGGCTCGCTTGTTCCGAAATTTTACTTTCAATTATCGGAAAAAAGCTAAAAAGAAGTCCCGGAAAAGGTCGAACATGGTACAATTTGGCAGATGGCGTGACAGCTTTAGCTCAGTTCTATGCTCTATACTCTCATAGAGCACGCTCTTTCAACCAATGACAGTGCGCGTTATATCCGAACTTTATTATAATATTATTCTAAATGGCAAATGTAATGTCACAGTCAAACGAGGAGGAGCTTTTAAATGAGGAGGATTGTAGAACAAGTTATGTGTTGATCAATTCAAAGCTTCAACATCTCTTTCCTTCCACCCCTCCCTTCAGGTAACCACCCAACTTTTGAAGATTGGTTTGTTCCCATTCCCACTTCCTGTTCCAAAAATTTAGTTCAATTCCTACACCTAATTTTTTGTGTAAAAGGAAAAATCAGTGATCACAACTTTCTACACATTGACCAAGCTTTAAAACTGTAGACCTTGTAGACTTATTTTCATTTGCCATTTGCTTGCACAAGGGAACTATTTACCTTAAACACCTTCATATTAAAAGGTGTAACACATATTCTGCTAGAAGGATTTGACACTTCCACTTCTTGATTTAACTGAGACATAAAAAGAGTAATTTTGGGGTTAAAAAAACTAAACTTGAGGTTAGGTTAATTACTCAGCAACTTTGCTCAGTAGCTTGGGTGCCATGGCAATGGGATGACATTTCAATTTTGCGAAAGTTGTTCTATAACAAGAAGCTGATGGTATTTTTGTCTTCAGAAGCCAACTCCACCTCCACAACAATACATATCAGTGGGCCCACCACCTTTCTCGCCAACCTCCATCAGAGCTCCAGTGGCAGGAGCTCCTTTCCCTCCACACCCCCAACCGATAATGGTGGTACCTCAACAACAGTTCTACAGAGGCAAACAGCCATTCAATAAACGTATGTTCAGTTGTGATTTTGGGTTTTTTTCCTGTTTTTGGTTGTCATTTTCTTTAGAGACATTTTGTTGCATCAAGTGTGAAACATAGTCAATGAAATGGACTGTTTATTGTTACAGCTGCACGAAGTCAGTCATATGGAGGTGGCCGTGACCAAGGGGAATCACCACCTTCCTTCATATCGGCAGCTACTGCAACTGGCAGCCCAATTATCACACCAGGAGGTGGATTTCCTCAGCAAATGTACGGTCCAATTCCATCACATCATCAGCCTGTCACTTACGTCCAGTCACATGCAGGAATGGTGCCACAGCCAATGTTACCACAGGTAGGCAGTGAAGGTGGTTTTGATTTGTTTTGATTTATTTTAAATTTTGTTCCATGAAATTCCATGAAAAAGTCATTTTGCAAGTTGTGTTCATAGCTCCCTTAAGTGATCAACTTCTATAGTGTAACTTTTTCCCTGTAATATCCAGACATTACCTAGCAAACAGGTATTGAGGATAATTTCAAACTTGTTAGGTAGAAGTCATTGTCTTGATCAAACACCAAATTCTTGAAACTAATTTACAAGGAATAATTGTTTAGTGGCTAAATGGGAGAATTAACAGTCAGATCTTGGGAGTTTAAGGGTAAAGCTTTCCTAAATACATCCAGCTTGGAAATTATCCTTGAACTGAGTCATACAATTTATTTATTTATTTATGTTTTTGGCAGTTTGTTGTTCCTCCAGGACACGGTCCAGCACGATTTATTGCTCCTGTAAGTAACTGTTGTCTGTTTGATAGAATGTGATTCAAATCTTGTTTCTTGTCACCCAAACTTATATAGAACAGATAAGTTACCATTAACCAATATATTT